TTTACAACAACTAAGATCTGAAAAATCAGCTTATTAAATAGTCATGTTGGCTGAGTTGGTTGCATGTTGGGTAATGTGGAGACTCCAACTTATCCCTGTCCAGTGTGTCGCCCACCTCTCACCTGATGACTCCTGATAAGCACCAGCTGCTGACAACCTTAACAAGGGAGTAGCAGTTAAGATAATGGATGCATATTTATAATAATTACCAGTCCTGGTAATTTGACAAACCATAACATGCTCCAAAGGGCAGTTTGTTCAGAGGCCGTGCAGCCTGGCTCTATGTATAGCAGACATGCTTGCCCCCTTCGCTCTGGTATGCAGCAAACAAACACCCTCCACAAGCAGAGGCTCCTGTTTCTTCATGGTGAAGACATCGCTGCAGGAGGATCTAAAGGGAGTGTCGCTGCCGCTGCTGTGCGGGAACACCCCTGTAATGCTACATAAGCATCTGCAGAAGCCAACAGCTGCTTCTAAAACTCATCAGCTGGAAACTCGCTTCAACTTGTCCTGACTTTTGCCTCTTGACCCTCTTCCTTCTCCCGTTTAGGGACCTCTAATATGCAGAAGAGCTGAATGATAGCTGGCTGAGCTCCAAATAGGATCTAACTTACTGAATATCTACTTTTTGAGGTCAGTTTGTTTGAAATCACACTTTAGATTGAGTAATCCAAAAAATTCAGAACAACAAATTGTTGTTTTTCCTGCCTTACTTGTTGTTTAAATATAACTTTTGTAAGCAAAACTGTTTAATGGTGCCAGCGTAGGGTTAGGGTTAGACACACAGGGGAAGGGAGGAGAGGTTTTGATTTATGAATCATACAAATAGATTCTTAACTTTTTAAAGCAATCAAAACAAATCCCTGGAGAGAGGTTTGGAGAAGTTGCTGCAGTTGATAAATGAAACCAGGAGGAGGGCAATGGTATTTGTGTTACTCTGGCAGCGTCTTCCAAAAGAACCAGTTAGAACTAGTTCTGAGTAGGTCTGCCTGGATCAAAAATGTTTTATGATACAACGATCTACCAATCTATAGCTGTTTCCACTAGAGGGGTTCTGAGAAATGTCTGGGAGGGGAAAAGTGACCAGCAGATGCAATGGCCCGGTCCTTTCAGCTCTTGTGTCTCCGTTCTAAATCCGTCCTTTCAGGATTTTACTAAAACATCAGCAACTAACAACATAAAGATCGCAGCTGCTTTGGCAGCGAGTAATGTGATCAACACCAAAAGGCATCCACGAACAATAATTTCATTAAAAGTTATGTTTTGTCAAGTAATTGAATCCATTCGGTAGATGAGGAGGGCAGATTTGTGACCTAAAATGCGACCTTCAACTATCATAATAGGCGTAATTTTTTTACCGCGCTCTAAGACGACATATAGTGAATACTACGACATAGGGAGCCTAAATTTCCTCCCTTTCCGGTTGGCTCTTGTGTCCCCGGACGAACTAAAAAATGAATGCAAGTCAATGGGGCCAAAAACGTTATTTTCTATGTTCTACTGCAATTTAAATGAAAAATAATGATGGGTGTTTTGACCATGCCAGTTTGTACTTTGAGATTTATTAGCTTGTAAAAGTTCGTAATTAGCGTGACTACACACCAGAAATCGGCACGTCGCATATGTGACGTCACCACATAATCCTCTCCGCTAAAGTAACTGCTACTTACCACAAGACCAGAATTATGGTGGTTCTTTCCACCTGTGGGAAGTTTGCTGAACTTACAGCCCTTTTCCCTCAGTTTTCTCCGTGTCTGGTCCGATGGCGTCACTTTTGTGATGCGCATTTGTAGTCCTGGACTTATTTTCACACAAAACCCAAAATAGCATTTCCCCCCATTTGAAAATAAGCACGTTCTTGGTATCAAAATGTGTCTTTGAAATTCACAGACATCATATGTGAAATTCATGGCACAAAACAAGCAGAATTAGAAAATAGCGCTTTTAGCCCCATGGACTTGCATTCATTTTTTTCGTTCTTCTGGGGACCCATGATGCGGAAGTAGATGGGCGTGACTTAGGCTCCCTATGGTGGGGAGATTTACGCCTCATTTGTCTAAGCTGGGATTTTAGAAAAGATGGTTTTAAAGCTGCATTAATGCTGTTTATTTTCTTTCCTTCCATTCTGCTTCACCAGCAACGCTTCCAGTTTTACAAATGCCAGTTCTTTGGCAACGTCTGCTGATGTCATTTCCCATCGAGTTACAACCAATCCGCACTAGCCTTTCTGCGTACATATAAGTTCAGGAACTCCACTGGTTCTTGAAAGGGACCAGAAAATGGTCCTTTTGGGCTAGACCAGTGAAAGGGAAAGACGCTCATGCCGCAAATATTACACTGTAGTTCCGACAGTGGAAGCGGGCGTTATATTAATACTGTAAGCAGCACTTTTAGTATGTATTCAAATCACCTTGTAACATCCACAAATGGTCAGTTTTTCATGTACAGTTTGACCTCTTCATTATCTGGTCATATGGAGACAGAAGTCTACATTTGTTGCCATTAATCTGCTGGATCCTGCCATTCCATCAGCTGGAGTCTGGACCTTTCTGCAGCTCTGAACACATGATAACAGATTGTCAACATCATGTTCCCTTCTCAAGGTCCTTCTTTGCCAAGCCTGTCTGCTTATCTAGGCCGTCCTGCACAGAAGAAAGGACTGAACTGTTATAATAGCGAGTGAACAAACGTTATATGAATAAATAACAATGTTTTGATTAATCTGTGCTGAAATTACTGTGGTTGAAATGAAACAACTTGATAAATGATGATCAGTAATGTTGGTTGAACAAGTGAATCACTATTTTCTGAAAGCTCACACACTCAGACACGTGACGATGACAAGGTTCAGCTAATATCCTGACACATTGCTTTCTGTTCCACGAATCAGAACTCCTGTATCTGACACAAGGCGTGACGTTCTGAGGTTTGCTTGTGAACACCCCTTAACATGGGGCGTCTCAGTTCGCCAAGAATTCATAATATGAGAATATTAAAACAGAGCTCACTTGACGGTGAGTCCGTTCTAGAGAAAGCTGCGGACAGGCCATCCGTAGCAAACCCTCTTTAACCCAGAGCAATTTTTGACAAGCTGTCAAAAACCCTGCTAAAAGCTGCCTAAACCTGACACAGCAAAACGGTTCCTTCAGCTATTCAGAACCAGCTGTTCTAGACGCAAACGATTTCATCTATCTGTTGTGACTCGGAAACATCTCTGGACTGGAGAGTCGGTGCTGAGGTTAATCTACCAAACCTCGCTGCCCAGCGGTCATTCGACCTCCCTGACCTCCTGATCCGCGAAGAGGGTCTCCAAAGAATGGGTGAGGTAGACACACAGATTGTGTCTGATGCCGCTTTTGATAAGAACCAACTTCATAGCTTGATGCAAACCAAATTCTTTTCACCTAGATACGAAGGTTCTGATAACCTCACATTCACACACAGTCACCATGCATCACATCCCATCCTCTTAGATTCATCCATCACAGTAGCCTTGGTTAACTTGTCATGTTTTTATTTGTTTAGAAAATAAGTTTCTTATCTTTTATAAACCTGACTCTGTCTGAGTTGAGACGAAGTGTGTTTGATCCCTGAAAAAGCAAAGAATCCTAGAATCGTCTGATTAAACATCCAAAGACCAAGCAGGTTGATATTCTATATTTATATAGAATATCACAGCTTATTGGTCATAAGTAAAGGTAATATATTAAGCTTAAAAGCAACAACAATTACCCTCTACAACCTTATAACAAAAATAAAAAAAACTATTATAAAATTAAAGGAATAGATTTACTTGAATGAATGATTGCACCTCACAAATAATACCAGTGTTTTAGACTTTCTGTTGAAAGGTATGAACAATCAGTATCTTACCTGTTGTAGATGTCTTTTTGAACAAAATCAGTATGGAGAAACAGAGATTAATTCCAATTGGACCAGTTACGTGTTCGATTTCTGCCGTTAAAAATCTGAACATGTCATTGTGGTTCATGCTAACAATATTTCATTCACTTTTTCACTGATGTTCTTGTTATTTACACAGAAGGTTTAGTTCGTAGAACATCTGTACTACAGTCAGAATCTCACATTTCTGACTGAATGGGTGTGTAATATGAAATTGGTGGAAATGTTGTGGTTTAAAATAACTTTAAAATATTTCTCACATGAACTCCTAAAACACTTTAGAGACTGGAGGTGTTTCAAGATGTTACCTGCTAACTTATCGGTCTGTTGTTAATTAATCTGTTTCTACCTAATATTCATTGTAAAAATATTTCTCATCAAAGAAAATATTCTTATGTCAACAAATGATGGAATTATGGCTATTTGGGGAAATTTTGAGAGTGGCTGTGTGCAGTCTGAATTTTAGCCAGTTTTGTGGCTTTTTTTTCTTGATTTCGACTTCTTAAACACAAAACCAAAGCAAATCAATCTATGCTGCAGATGTGTTTTTCTGTTGTTGATGTAGATTGCAGAGCCTGTCAAAGGGTTATGGTTGTAAATAGCTTAGAGCAGCCATGTGACATTTCAGAGGCCGTTGAGGGGAGAGGTTGAATATCGTTGCCCACTCAGTTGTTCATAACTGCCCCTCCTTGTCAAATGTCGTCGCTGGATCATTTTCCCAGTCAGGTTGTTGTGCAAAGCATGAAAGTGAGCACAAAACATACTTTGGGACATGCTGTAAACACACTAGAACAGTGTGTCACGCTGAAATCAAGTGTTTGTTTCTGTTTATTCTTTAGTTTACGTGCCCAAAAAAAATCATGAAATGAAAGAGGATGCATTATGGATTGCAATCTCCTAAAATAGAAAAAATAACTCCATGCAACCTTTTTAATTCAGCTACAGACACTATAAAATGAGTATAGAGAACATTTAGTGTGAGGACTCTAAAGGAACATTGTGCTTGTCAACATTTTTATGATCTAGGAGCGAGTTTGGTGTCAGTGGCCATGTGATCACAGCGGGAGGAGCCTTGTGAGGGTCACTCATTTCTAAGCTGAAGTCATTGGGTCTTACTCCCCTAAAATAGCCCTACAGAGGGTATATAGAGATGCTGTTCGGCTCGCCCTGCTATGCCACGGTTCTGTGTGACTGCTGCTTTGAATCTGACAGGAAAAGAGATCAAGTAGATGGATAAAAATAACAGAGAGGAAGTGGATTTAGCAAAGTGAAGCGGAAGACTGCATGAGCTGCTACTGCTGGAAACGTAAAGGACACAGAAAGAAGAGAAGAGGGACACGTTGCAAAGGACACAATTATTTCCTTGGATTTTTGTCTCACTTGGATTTCTCATTTTCCTCCTTCTGAACGAAGGAGGTAACAAAGCTGCAAGGATGAAGTACAACTACCATTTACCCGTGTCAACATACACACGAAGTTCACAGTACACACCGGTGTACCATACACCTTACTACTATAACCCCTCACAATACACAACGACACCCACATACGCCTCGGTTTCAAAGTACACCCCAACGCAGCTGAGCTCCGCGAGTTACACCTCGTCATATCACACGTCTTCCTACAAAACCGCGTCAACATATGTCCCTTCTTACAGCAAAGTGTCACGATACAGCTCAACGCGCTGCACACAAGCACAGGAGAGCCCTGCAACTGTCATACCCATTGCACCCGCAAAGAGAAGTGTGCATTTCCCCAATGACATCATCTTTCAGGATATCGTCAGAAAAGGAGATCTGGAGCAAATTGGTCGTTTCATGAGAGCACGGAAGGTCCGCGTGGATACACTGTTCCACTCAGGTGAGAGATCGTCTCGCCAACTTTTACTGCCCCATTTTAGGCGTTGTTGTCTAACACCATCTAGAGTTCAAATCTTTAAAACGTGGATACTGATGGTGGGTGTGTGTGTGTGTGTGTGTGTGTGTGTGTGTGTGTGTGCGTGCGTGCGTGCGTGCGTGCGTGCGTGCGCGTGCGTGCGTGCGTGCGTGTGTGTGTAGGAATGGCTGCTCTGCATGAAGCCGTGCTAACAGGAAACCTGGAGGTGGTGAAGCTGCTGGTTAAGTATGGCGCTGACGTCCACCAGAGAGACGAGGACGGCTGGACGCCGCTGCACATGGCCTGCAGTGATAGTTACCCAGAAATCGCCAGGTATACATTAGCCTAGTGGATCGCTTCCTGAAGACATAGTAGCTAAATTTAAACAAGTCCAGCAAGAAATTTTCAATATTTCTGAAGGCAGAGCCATGTAACGAAAAATTTAAGATATTGAAAGGGTTTTTAAGAAATAACGTTTTTTAGGTAATTTTATCTCCCATCCAGGATTACCTTAGGGAAAGTTCAACACGCAGGGGTTATAATAATCAGCTGATCAAAACCAATACCAATAATCAATCAACAAATCAATTTAGACTTTGCAAAGTGGAGAATGAAATACACACCAAGCAAGGTCCGACAGTTCACTCTCATCAGACAAAGTCCTCCAAGAGTATTTATTAAGCACACACAGCAAGATAAAACACACACACATTTACACACACACACATTCGAGGTTCTCACAGACTCTCTTGCAGGGAGACACTTCAGGTGCAATTTCTAAAACAATAAAGCTGTCTCAAGGGAGTTCTACTGATAAGGGGGACTAGGACTGGTACCAGGCGAGGTCAAAACCTCCAAAAACGTCCTTCCTGTAAGAACTGAAAAGGCCTGTCTGTTACCCGAGTAAAATAAATGGATGAAGCTTTGTTTAAAAACACCAGATGTTACACAGTCAAGTCATTACAATATATGTTTTTATCCAACAACGTTGCATATAACCCTGTAAATATTTGGAGATTGAAGATTTTTGAAGACAGCTCTATACATGTGTTGCTTAGACTAGCTGTTAGCTCATCAGTCCTGTAGGACTCTCAACTGAGGCCATTCAGGAAGCTAACAACGATGGATACGACATTAATAATTGATGTGTTTTACACATGAACTAAATGGCTTTATTGGACTAACAATATTTTTTGGCTCTTTTTCCAGGTATCTGTTAGCGAAGGGAGCGAGCACAGAAGCTGAGAACGAGAGCGGAGAGAAGCCAGCAGACCTCATCGACCCGGATTGTAAAGAGCTGGCTAAACTGTTTGAGGCAGGCTGCGTGTGACCGGGTTAACTGACACTGAGTGGACCCAGGAGAGAGGATGTCTGCGAACGAGACAAAAATAAAAGGAGTTAACATTCAGAGAGGCAACAGCACCAATCCAAGCTAAAGAAGGATCACTGAGAGACGGAAAACTGCTGCTCAAATTCTAAAATGCGGCTCAGATTCCTGTAATTGTTTAGAAATTCATTTTTGTGATTATTCAGTTTTACTTCACTGTGGATTCATCCTTTATTGTGTGCATATTTAGTGCATTTTTGTTTTTGTTACTACTCTCAGCTTCAGTGTCGTTCTTGTCACTGAACCCAAAGGTCTTTCCCTTTTAATGCAGCATGCAACGTTCTGAAAATCTACTCATTTATGGAGAAAATTACGTTTTTATTCTCATGAATTTTTCATGAATTTTTTTATTCAGTTGAAACGGTGTTATGCAGTCACTTTTTTTGTTGCAGCCTGTAATTTATGGGGAAATTATGGATATATGGTGAAAAACACAAAAGATAGTTGTGTTTTATACAGCGTTATGCATCCTCCCTGCTGGGCAGATGAGGATCCTAAATGATGGAGGCTAAATAACAATATTAATGAAAGAAATGAAAGTTGTGTTAATAGAGTTCTTGAAAAGCTGTAGCATTTTTGCAGATATATTTAGTCGCTGTTCTAAAAATTCAAATGTAAAAGTCTTATATTTTCTGTTTCATTGTTGATTTTGTACATTTTCATAAATAAACTTCTACAAAATAACCACATTTCTTTTAAGTTTTGATGACATTACAGTTTAATTTATCACCTGGTTGATGGAGCAGTTTCTGGCTAATAAAGCTAATATGTTATCTGTGTACACAACACATTGAACCCATTCTGCCCTCATTGCCCCTACTGTTCCGAGCAAGTGTTTGCATGCTGAATATGTGACTGGTGCGTAAAAAAAGTATTCTATGAATGTGTGAATGAATGAGTGAATGTCTGTGATGCTGTATAAAACTGCACAATGTAAACTCAGTTCTTTTATCAAAAGATCTGCAGAAAAATGGCCTCTGTGACATTAAACTGAAGAATTTTGCTAGTCTGATTAAATGCAAAGTGCAAGTGCTGAGAAATAATCTCAAGAGCCTTTGATTATGCATTTTAAAGCATTTTCATAGGAAATTTCCTGTAATATGTTTCACTCCTAAACCAGCAAATTGATGTCTAATAAAAATTTCACAAGAAAGGTGCTGATAACAATTCCCACCTCTTGTTTTTGTGTGAAATTTGGTATGAATCGTTTCATTTCTTTAATCTTAAAGGCATGCTCTGCAAAATTGGGAAGCAGAAGGACAGAAATTTGGACTTTCTCCAGTGTAACTTGACTTTTACTTCATATCACAAGATTGTACATTATATTTGCTTTAACTCGTGTAATTTCATTGTATTATTTTATTTATCGGAGACTTTTTAAGTATTACTGCATCGTGCATGTAGGTTTTTGGTATAATATAAATATTTTAAAATAAAAATAACAATAAATAAATAACAGTAATGATTATACTGTTATTTGTTTATTTTTCTGTTTTTAATGAGACGGACTTTTTATCTCTTCCGCGTGCTTCCCGGAAGTGATTGGTTGGCGTTGGCAACGTTTTAGCAGTTCTAACGGCGTTTTCTGTCTCTGAATACAGACATTAAGGAGAATAATTCCCCAAAGGTTTGTCTTATTTTTAATGCCTCTATTTTTCGAGTATTATGACAATACCATCACTGTGGTGGGTTGGCGCTAATAAATTAGTTGTATTGAAATTGAGGGAATATCATTAGCTGCTCTAAGCTAACGCTCCGCCAAGACAAAGCTGCTCGGTAGCTACAGGGCTAAATTCACTTAGCTGAAACCATTGAAACATTTACTCAAAGCTTAAGTTTGTGGTGAACCGTACTCTTAATAGCTTTAAACAGGTTTTAAGATGGAATCGTTTGTTATTGTAGTGGTTTCGGCACTGTAAGCAGACGCTAGCATCACTGAGGCTAATCAAGTCAAAACGTAAACAAAAGCTTCAGGTTGAGGTAACGCCAAAAACCTCTTGTTTCTTCAGAGGCACAGCCGACTGTCACTTCAGATAAATAGTTCACCTTCACAGTAGCCACGTGTTTATGGTGTCATCAGTCTTTCCAGAACTTTTCACATGATAGATGTTATTGTAGGTGATCGTTGAGACGCTAACAATCAAAACAAGGCAGTGGTTTTACAAGAGTTTAGCTCTGGTGAAATAGTTTCGTTTAGTTGTGGCTCTATACATGTGTGACGCTAAAAATAGACTCTTAAATTGTATGTAAATACTGAAGTTACGTTGTGTGTTATTTAGGACTTGTGAACATTTTCACCCTTTGAATCCACTCACCACAAAGGAGCAAGGAGCCAGTACAGGCTGCAAACAGAATGACCAGGTCTGGGAAAACAAATAGCACTTTAAGTCTGTACTGCATGTGTGTACAAGTGCTGCAAAACGTGCTTGAATTTGCAGCTTAAATTGGTTGTAGCATGATAATGTTTATTTTCCACGAGACAAGGGACAGAGCGTTTGCTACGCTGCTAATGTTGCTGTTTTCCTGTTCGTAAAGCTCATCTGCTCCAAGGATGGTGAATAGTTACAAGAGGACTTCCAGCCCAAGATCGCCAACTAACAGTGGGGAGCTTTTTACCCCAGCACATGAGGAAAATGTGCGCTTTATACATGATAGTAAGTATGTCTGTTTTAGAATAGAGCTGAATTGTTAAAAATGAAAAAATATATACTTGGCTGCTTATAACATTAATTTTTTGATTAATTAAACTGAAGTGGTATGTGCATCAAGAGCAACCAAACCCATGTTGGGTCACGTGTAAACAGGTTAAAAGCAGTTTTATTTTCTAGTATCAATATAGTTTGGTTTGATTTTGCCTGAAGCTTTTATATAAGTTGGCATATTTTTACACCAGTTCACAAACTTTTGTGGTGATCCCACCTTCTGATGTCAGCAGATGGCTGATCATTGTAGACATCAAAGAGCCGGCGCTGGTCTGGAACCAGTCTCTCGGGATTAACAACTGGTTTGAGATCTGGCTTTAAAACCAAAAGGGAAACTGAGTCAGTTAACAAAAGATTATTGTGACGAGAATCCTCGAGTCCCGAGCGGCATTTTCATTATTTAAATTAAGAAAGTAAAGAACTAGATTGTTTTAAAGCTGTTGAGTGACTTTTTCTACAGCCTAAGTCAGCATTTTCAGGTTTTCATAATTTAAAAAAAAACACCCAAATGTACATTGTTTCTGGGTTTTTTTTTTCTGTAACAAATTCCTACAGAAGATGATTAGGGCTCCTTAAAATAAAAGAAGAAACGAAACAAATTTCTGACAATTATCTCAGAATTCTGACTTTTTCCTCATTATTCAGATTTTTTTATTCATGAGAAAAAGTCAGAATTCTGAGATTAAAGTCAGATTAAAGTTAGAAATCTTTTTTATTTTTTTTATTTTTTTAGTGGCCCTAATCCTCTTCTGTAAATTATCTTCTAGAGAATAACTAAAGTAAATTTTGATAAGCTAGAGGGGTTATGGTATGAAACAGGATTTCTTGTTTCAGCTAAAAGGCTGCTGTTTGTGAGGTTGCTTAGGTCACCATGGTAACTGAGACTAAACTCATCATCTGCTAGAAACCACTTTCATATGTTGTCATACTGGAACAATTGAAATAATCATCACATTGTCAAATAAGCTCCACCATCGTGTTTAGAGTCAGCCAATGCCCAAAACTCAGATGTTGATCAAACGTTGTCATTTTAATCTCTAAAGTCTGCTACGATCCAAGTCAAATCCAGAAAGATATTTAAATTTAAGTTTTTATCTATTAGGATTAGACTAAACTCTGGATTATAATCTTAAACATCATCCTGTTCATTTGTTTAATTGAAAATAGTAGGGCTGCACAATATATCATAAATATATCATTATTGCGATATCAGCATGCACAATATGCATATCGCAAAGAACAGATAAATATCGTAATGAATGGTCAGCTCAAATGCTTGCTACACATAATGCATTCTGTCAATCAAACGGAAGCGCGGTGTTTTTTAACAAATCAAATAGAGCTCTTCACCCATTTGGCCAATTGGGTGGGTTTTGGGTGGGTTCTCATGGGTTAGATGCCCGCCCCCGAGGCGGACACACTTCATTTAGATGGTTAGCAAACACCTGAGTTAGCTTTGTCCTGCTCTTCCTGCTGATTCTGCTTTATCTGGGATCCACTGATTGCCTTTCCTTTTCCCCTTTCCTCACATCTTTTGCTTTTCACATTTTTTATGATTTTTTTATTTCTTTGTTTTTGATTATTTTTTGTTCCTGAGTTAAGTTTTTATTTATCGCAAGCAATATCGTCATTGCAAAATTAATCATTGTTATCGAATATCGCAGGTTTTCCTAATTTCGTGCAGCCCTAGAAAATAGTATTTTTATTATTATCTTGCATGATTTTCAGCATAAGAATGATGAAAATTTGTTTTTAAACCTGAATGAATACACACAAACTTTTTCCCTGCTTTTGACACTGAGCATAGCCACTGCAGGACAAAACAAGAAAAGAACACTGTAGCTTGATTCCTACAAATCCATCAGAACTAATATAAGTCAATTATTTTTGACATTTTTCATATTTTCTTCACTACTGCTGAGAAGTTTGTTAAACTGTTAATTTTAGGTTTCATTTATTACAGCCACTGTACATCAGAAAATAACCATAAATATAATAATAATAATTTCCTTCCTTCTCTAACTCAGGCAACAGCATTCTTCCTTTTTGGGTTGTTTTAAATTTTGCTGTCTTTTATGAACCAGCTCTTCTTTGTTTTTTTTTCTCTGGGACTTTATTTGTTTGATCAGTTAACTTTAAATGAGAAAAGTGTAAAAAATATGTTTAAAATGATTTATTGTGAATGCACAGTTTAAATTTTTTATTGCATTTGTTCAGCTAAAGTCGAACCGAACTGGACTACTCCTAATTGACCTAAGGCACCCAGATAATTTGGTTAAAAAACCAAACTTCTCTGCATGTAAATGTCATCTTAGCTTAGCCAAGCTATGACTGGCGTAGGTACCGGATCTGCTCAGGCTGCCTGATCGGCTCGGGATCCTGCGCCTACTGATGACGTCACACTAGATGATTGGCTGAACGTAGGACTTACGGAGTTGCGGTCCACGTTCATAAAAGTTACGTTAGCACGTTCACACTGAAGACTTTGATTGGTCCAAACAAATTTGCGGTTGTAGTCCTGCAGTGGAAAAACAAACACTATTCTGGGAAAATTTGTTGCTAAATGAAACGTTAAATAAAAGCAAAATATCAAGTGATAAACCCTCAGCAGTATAATCAAAATAAAAGAACTTTATTGAGCACATAGCAAGCAAAATTTTGAATGAACAAATATATTTATTTACATAAAAACTAACGAAATATACAGAATAATTCTACATTTATGGAAATGGATGCTATTTATGTAAGTACATTTAAAAGTTTTCACTTATAAGAATTGTTGTGCTTTTTGGCAGTCCGATGTTGGTTTTATGTAGTTTCACGTTCTTTACAAAACAAAGACAGTATGGTGTTTCTTTAAATAATAGGGGGCCTGAGTCTCCTCCCTTTCCGGTCGGCTCATGGGTCTTTGGAAGAACGAAAAAAAGAATGCTAGTCAACTGGGCTAAAAACGCTGTTTTCTAATTCGATTTGCCTTACGCCTTGGATTGCACATATGTTGTACTCCTATTTAAATTAAGGGTGTGTTACGACTGCGCCTGTCATGTACTTTGAGATTTATCAGCTTGTAAAAGTTCATAATTATTATGACTCCAAACCAGAATGTACATCACAAATATGACGTCACCACAAAATCTCTTCTCCCCTAGCGTAGCTGCTACTTGCCTGTTGGCGAGGTTTATGGTGGTTCTTTCCTCCTGAGCGACAGATTTAAAACTGCTAAACTCTTTCCAAAACGTACAGTTAGGGCTGGGCGATATGGCCTAAAAATTAAATCTCTGATTTTTTTAAATTCAATTTACGATTTTTTTCCGATTCTCTATCCCCCTCAATTATTAAGAATAGCAGTTAATACAAATGAAAGGCACCTTAAAGCCAGTTTTGTTTTTTATTTTAATCACAAGCAAGACAAATGTTACCCTCATTTCTGAGATGAATAATGAATAAATGAACACCCTCTTGGAAGAAAAGTGCCTCGCTCCACGTCCGTCGCAGCAAACCCAAACCAGTTCCAAACAACGGATGATTTAATTCCTTTCTTAGGAACAAACTTCCCACTCTTACCGGTGGCCGTGGAGTCGCTTGCTGTTGCTGTTTCATGTGCGCGCTGTGACATTGAATGTTTCTCAATGTCGCCTTGCGAGGCGATGTTTTGCAAGGCCAGGCTCCTTGCATCACGTGACCGCGGCTTCCACTGCGGTTCTGTAACGTCACATGACACGAGAGATAATGTTATATTTTATATGTAAATATAAAACAAGGCTTTTACTTTTTAAATTGTGTATTTGTTTATTAAATTTAAAATATAAGTGAGTTACTACCAAAGCTGAAACTACTAAGCAACTAACCAACATAGATAACTTCTTTGGATTAAAAAAAAACATTTTTAATTAGTTGACTTACTTTTAAACTTGAAAATTGTCCCTGAAGTAGCTGCCGGCTTCTGATCCGCCGTCCTTTTTAAAATACGGCGGTGTATTCTGGGTAATTTTTGACCAAGGCTAGGCTACAACCATCGACATAAAACACACCTCCCGTATCCTCGCTCAGCTAGCTAAACGGCTAACAAATGGAGAACACACGCCTCTGTAGAACATGAACATTGGAACACGTCTTGGCGGTTCCTGATGGCGTATCCCCTAGGCAACAGCGGTGGGGCCAAGATATCAAAGCAAGGTTCCTTGGCATTGAGAAACACCCATTTTTGTCGCGGTTCTTTGAAATTAACGCTACGGAAGCTCCGGGGAGCCAAAAAGATGCTATTACATAAAAATTCTATTTTACTTTTTTTAAATCGCCCGCAACAAAATTTTCTAATTCATTCATTAAATCAATTTATTGCCCAAGCATACATACAGTACAGGCCAAAGGTTTGGACACACCTTCTCATTCAATGTGTTTTCTTTATTTTCCATGACCAATTATAGGGATGTTCCGATCCGATCACATGATCGGAAATCGGCCCCAATCACGTGGTTTCAGACTGATCGGGACTCAGGCTTTACTTCCTGATCCAAGCCCCGATCCGGAGTTGGATACTGGGTTCAAATTACAGGAGAGCAACTTGGTTCTCCTAAAGGTTGTCAGGCTCACGTGATGCCCTTAACTTACAGACCCAGAAGGAGCACAAAAAAGGTCCAGTTTCTGCCTATATTATATTATTTATATGGACTCAGAGTAGCGGAGATTCTTTTGAGCAGAGAGCGGCAGGCAGGCCGCTGATTATTCATGAACTCCAGCTGCGTTCTGCACACGGCCACAGTAACATTTTCTACAGTTTTAAGTGGCGTCACCAAAAAATTTATAATTAACACACAGTCATTTGTGTCCGGTCATTTTCTCTCTGGTAAGTTCTGTCTGTATTTGAGCAGGACGTGTGGACGCGCTGCAGCGCTCATCACTGGCTCAGCCGGGCAGCGCGGTGCACACTCCGCTTTTTTTGCAGTCACTAGATCAATTAGATCTGCTAGTTAAAAAGTTACTTGTGAGGTGAAAAAGAAAGAAGCAGGCAGGAGTTTTTCTGGAGGACTGGGAGATGCAGGAAGATCAGGGACAGACAGGATAGGAAGACAGGAAAATAAAAACCAAGAAAACAAAACAAAGTTCTTAAAAAATTAAATGTAGGTAGATTGATCCCACTACACGTTTGTACCTGTATAAAGCAATAACTTATCAGCATGTAGTATTTATATAGTTGATACAATTCAGATCATCTTCAAAACTCTGTCCCATGCCCAGGGACGAATCTAAGCATTTTGGGGGCCGAGGCAAAATAGACCCCTGCCAGGTATTTGAAGTTGAAGTGCTATCTGTATTTATATTAGGCTTTTTATATTTGCAATAAAGTCCAAAAGTGAATAATTTATGTTATTTATTACTTGATTGTTCAAGCTACCTCACAGAAGTGATCTGTTGTTAAAAATTAAAATAAAAAGGTAATTAAATTAAAAAAATAAAGGAACATTCTGGAACTGTTTCTTCCTTTATTTATTTTTTTTATGTATCGAAAGTATCGGATAGGGACTCTGTATCGGCAGATTCTCAAAATCAAATGATTCGGACTTGAGGGCAAAAAAACCTAATCGGGACATCCCTAACCATTGGTAGATTCTCATTGAAGGCATCAAAACTATGAATGAACACACGTGGAGTTATGTACTTAACCAAAACAAGTGAAATAACTGAAAACATGTTTTATATTCTATTTTCATCAAAGTAGCCACCTTTTGCTCTGATTACTGCTTTGCACACTCTTGGCAGTCTCCTGATGAACTTCAAGAGGTCGTCACCTGAAATGGTTTTCCAACAGTCTTGAAGGAGTTCCCAGAGGTATTTAGCACTTGTAAAGGGTCATGGTCATAAGAATAATGAAAACTCATTGAATGAGAAGGTCTGTCGAAACTTTTGGCCTGTACTGTATGTGTGAAAGCAGAGTGGCTTTTGCGTAGCGTGATGTCATCAGCAGGTACAGGAGTCCAAGCCGATCTGGCAACCCGAGCAGATCTGGTACCAACAGCGGGCTGGCCACTCCCTTTCACAGAAGTGACGAGACAAAAGTGGTATTCTAATATCATCACAGCAAGACTCTGCATGAATCTGACATGCAACACCGTCAAACAGTACAGCTGTGCTACAGCGTTGTTGTCGTCCATGTCTTCCACCAATGTTCATATCCCGGTTTTACTCTGCTTTACTCCCACCAATGTTTGTTTACTATTTGTGTTTTGCTACGGGCTAACCGGAGGAATGCCAAAACAAAGGGTGCATGTCGCCACCTGCTGTTGTGGAGGGAAACACTTGATTCAATAATTCGGTTTTCTAATGATCATGTTAGGGTTTTTCCTGCCTGACGTAATAGTCACACAGGAACGAGTACTGTCTTTTTTAGCTTTGCAAAGGGGAATGGAGAAGTTAAACAGGATACAGTCGTGACTCCACTCCACTCCACTGCCCATCTCCAAAGTTCTCCCCTACGTGGCTCGTCTTTATTAAGCACAGTAACACACGGGAGTTACACATTACAATGACGTGGTGCAGTAAGATTGCGTTCAATCAGCTGCAACGTGACTTGGAACTGAAACATAATGTTCCAGACATAAAACTGTGGGTGACTGTGCTTTGCATTTCCCCCCTCTGAGGTGTTTGTTATGCTATGAAAATTCAAGTAATCCCAAGGTGTGTGGTCAGATGTTTAGTCTTCAGTACAAGTGACAAGCTGACTAACCTCTAGAGGTGCTGAAAAAAATTGATTCAAGTCTGAATCTGGATTCTTACTTATAAAGATTCAAAATCGATTCACAAAGGTTCAGAATCGATCCCAAGAAGTCAAATGTTTGGCATGTTACAGGTTTGAGATGCACTTTTGTCTGTTTTTTTATCTTTGTTAGGAGAGTCAGTACTCCGTTTACTTTTGTGGTCCCACAACTTGAGATGATTTATTTTTGAATCTGCTGATAAGTGGGGACTAGAATGTAATTTTTTCATACACATTAATTTGAGATATTCTCATATTTATTTTCTAAGTTGATAAGTGAGGGCTCAGGATTACTCATGTATTTATTTTAAGTTATTGATAAATGAGAGAACACATTTTCCTTCGTAAGAAATCTAAGGCACTTTTTTTAAACAGGTTGAGGACTCAAATGTTGTTTCTACACATACTTGAAAAGTATTTGACCGTATTACTTTCAAAGCTACTGTTAGGTAACTAAAGATTTGTTATATTTTACAAGGGAAGCAAAAATAAATGTTGCCTTTTGGTCAAAAGATTGCTTCTGTTTAGCTTTAGAGTCACTTTAGTTTACCTTATAAATTTGCATTTTTGGAGCATGACCAGTTTAAAGTAAAATAAAAATGTCCCACAGCTTCAACTAACTTGTACAACAAAGTAGTTCATCCTAGAACTGGCACTTTGTTAACATTGATTGTGAATTGATTTAAATCGAGAATCGATTCTGAATCGAATCGACACCCAGAGAATCGGAATCCAATCAAATTGCGAATTGCTCTAAGATTCACATCCCTACTATCCTGTAATCCAGGTTAAATCCCATCAGTTTGCCTGTTTAGCTTCTTAATGACCTTTAATCAATGTTTCTTATTATATTTTTGCTAATAAAATCCTCTGAGCTGCTCTTGCTTGCAGCAAAGATGTTACGTTTCCTCTCCCTCCTTCCGCAGCCTGGCAGTGCGTACTCAGAGACATCAGATCAACACAGAATAGTGAACGGAACGACCGTGGACCACAGGAGTACGTGGACAAGAACCCCAACCCTAACCTACATTGTAAGTCATAATAAATATGTTTTATTAAATGTCACATTGAAGGTGTTCAGATCAAAAATGTGTTTTTGATCATTGTTATTATTCGCTCTGCAGCCTTCACACCAGTGGACCTGAGTGATCTCAAAAGGCGTGTTGCCTTTTTGGACTCCAAGAAATCCTAGTGCTTCCTGTGATGTTCTCATTGCTTTTTTCCATCCATTATCCTGAAGAACTTTTCATTTCTCAGCCCTCTGACAGCCAACGCTGTTGGCTCATGTAACAGAAACAAGTCTCATTTCTATACTATGGACCATAGAAACTCATGTCTTTTTTTTGTTTGGTTTTACCCTCGACGACCGACAAAGAAGAAAAGCAAACACACTTGAATTTCCAGGGGCACAAACCTTCCCCTCCCGCTCTGTTTTTCATGTTTTCCCTTACAAATTCTGAATATTTACCGCCCTAATGTGGATGGGTCCGATTCAAGTGTGCATCAGAATTCGCAGACATCTGATGCTGAGGCTCAAACTAAAGCCCGACGGGACACAAAAGTCTTAAATATAGTAGTACCTGCTGCTTAAATAACTTTTGGAGGCAATTGTAAAAGAGCTGACTTGTGTTTTGGGTTCAGAAAGTAGATCGATAAATCGATAAACGCTAGAAGTAACTGAACATCGGACACGCTTTATGGGAAGCTTTTGAAAGCCAAAATACTAAATAGAAGGCCAACATTTTTATTAAACAATTTGTTGCCCGTTGTGGACTTTATTATCTAGAATGCAAGGATGCAGTCGTTGGTTGACCCTTCTCCTCTAAGCCTTGACACAAAATATTGAATAAAAGACTTTTACAGTACGTTTGCTTCTGTGGATTCAGATTCATGATTTTTGTTGTTTTGGGGTGGAGGGGTCAGACTTCAGCTAACATGTTTTATTGATACTGAGTAAATTCTAAAGGCATTTTATTTTTTATTTATTTCAATTATTAGAGGGGGCTATCCAAAATATGTGGAGAAGGTTCTGTCCTCTCCCTTTTAAATCACACTAACTGATAAACTATGTTATTTGGAAAGCTAGGTTGAATGTTTCTAGCCGGACCTGTAAAAGTAAGACATGTCTGACAATGTCAAGTAGGCTCAATGATCTCAAAAGCAAATGGTTGATTGCAGTTATTACAAATAGGCATGCAGTGCCAGGTTTTGGCTGCTTTTTCCCTTGAAAGATCAAATAATTGTTTATCTGAAGTGTTTTGCAAAATTTTCATATTTTAAAATTTTCTTGAGCCAGTGTGTGCTAAAACAACCCTGTACAGGGTTAATGAAATGTCACTCAGACCCCGACCACCCTCTATGGCCAGAATGTCGCACTTGCAACTTCAGAGTTGGACTTGTGGAGCTGACATGCCTGGTGCTGCAGTCTGCTTCCTGCATGTTTTAGATCATAAACACTGCTGGTTTGGTCAATTTAGTGATGAGCTGCTCCTGTAGAAATTAAGGAAGGATGGGGAGACATTATTATGGATTAAGGTGTTTAAAAAGGTGAATGCACAGTTTCACTTTTGGTTTTACTAACAGAACACTAGGGGCTGCTAAAAGCAACCCAAAACTGGTTAGTTGTGCAAAAAAAAAAAAAAAAAAAGCAAAAGTTTAGAAATCTAAGGGGTCAGTAGCCATCACCAGTTCTGTGTAACTGCTTAAAGAGCAAGTCACCCCCTACCAGAGTATTACTCCGCTCCCACTTCCTGTTTGAAAAATGCAACAAATTCTGTTGCCTAGCAGACCAAGAGGGCGGGCCCGCTAACAAATACACACACACACAACGACATTGTGACATCATATGCTACCAGCTAACGTTCTAGGGTACCCCTTTGCCAATAACGATGGCAGATTTAAATTCAAATGCAGTGCAGAGTTTTTACCTGACAACGGCACAACACTCACAGTTTTAGGCAGAAAATTTAAATTTTAACTAAAATGCACAAAAGTGCAAAACTACACGTGTCTGCAGCACGGTTAGATACGCATTTATATAGTTTATCAGAAAAAAGTTGATCTGGGAGTGACTTGCTCTTTAAACACTTAACTATATTATTTTAAAATCCTTGACTTTGTGAAAGTTTCTTTTAAGAATTGATGATTGATGTGGTTTCGTTTTTCCCGGTTATTTCTTCAGTTTACAGTTTTAGTTTCGATCAAATGTTATATGTCATATTTGTCAAAAAAATATTTATTTATTTGTTCTGTATTTTACCACATCTGTGTAGAACTTTTGCACAATACGCACATTTTCCTGTCAAGGTTTCTTTTAGATACATGTTCCGCCCGGTTCCGCCTCATCGTCGACAGTAGAGGGGATCACGTTCACGTACTCACGTCAGGCTTACGTAGAGAACGTCGTGTTCTACTACTTGTGTTTAGCAGCTGCTACAAGAATCAGACACCGTTGAGCCTTGAAAGGGACAGGGAGAGGGACCGACCGAGTCTAGGGTGTAACATTCTTAATTTGTTCAAAGTTTAGCGTTATTGGGGCAGCAAAATGACCGATAAGATGGATATGTCTTTAGACGACATTATCAAACAGAGCAGGCAGCAGAGAGGTGGAGGCCGGGGAGGAAGAGGCCGTGGCCGCGGAGGCACAGGCAGCGGCCGGGGTGGAGGCGCTGGGCGACTCGGAGGCGGCGGCGGAGGCTTTGGAGGCCGAGGCGGTGGATCCGGCCCCATGAGGAATCGACAGAACCTGAGTCGCGCTAGAGGCAGACCTACGCCTTACAGCAGGGTATGAGAATGTTAGAGGAATAAGCAGAGAAATGTTTTCATATTGTGTCCCTTCTCCCGCAACCCAAATGTGTAACGCACGTCGAGCTTCAACAGCCTACGGAAGGAGTGGAGGCCCTCAGCGCCATTTTGAATCCAGCCCCGCATTGTGAAGCTAGTCGTCAGTGAGTGCTCAGTGAGAGGTATCCTGGCCACGGTGGTGAAAGAAACCCACTTCGTCAAGAGTATCACTCGAAAGTGTGTTTTCACTGCTTGTCGGAGCGGGATATGTGCTCAAGTTCCCGCCAGCGCAGCGACCAGGCGGCCTTTTGTTCGGGGAGTGGGTTCTCAAGCCCTCTGGTGGCTTTTTCTACCAGTTTGCCTGTTACTTGTGGATGGAAAAGCGGACTTTTACTCCTCTGTTAGTGCCCAAACAAAACCGGTTCTTCGTCTTTTAAAGTGTGATCGAGTTGGTAGCGAAGCCAAACAAAGCCCCAGTCAAAATGGCGTGGTTTCAAAATGGACGCTCACGCAGAGGGGAGATCTGGCCATTTTCACTCCTCATCCAGCACACGGACTCTTCCCCTACTGAGAACTGTTCTGAGGTCCAGGACACAAAGTACCAGCGCTGGAGACGCCGCTGCATCGAACAGGAGTCCCCGAGTGTCCCGAGGAGCTGGCTTTTCTGGAGGGAGGCGCAGATGGCGAGAACAATGGGCATCTCTGGTAGCTAGTCTGAGGAGTTTTACAGGTTTAGCATCAAGTCTGTGGGTTTGGGTTTAAGAAATATCTGTGATGGTAATACTTAGGTTTCTGGAAAGGCTCGTTAGTCTATTCTAGGGTTTATTTCACTAGAAACCCAGAACAGGACTGTTGAGTTTTGTTTTTATGGTTTTGTTTTTAATCCATTTATTACATCAAACTTGGATCTAAAGAATACATTTTTATTTTAAGTGGGCTTTAATGGGACCATTTTTCTTTAGACAGTTGATTAGAGTGATTGAAACAAGTGGCTCCCAGATCTTTTAACTTCTGATTTACAAGATCTGTGATTAAAAACCTTCATTATTCATGACGGACACGTACAAATAGCCAATAAGACAATTACATTAGGACAGGAAGATGACTCCATCCACTTTCACCAAGACTAAACGCTTGTCAGTTGGTCTGTTTAGATGTTTTCTCTTCATATATGTCAATTATTTTTAAATTTGATAATCTCAACATTGGTGTCCTGTCCTAACTTTGGGAACCAGTGAGTTTGAACTAGGGATGCACCGATACGATACTGGTATCGGCACCGATGCCAATACCAGTATCGGTGAAAGTTAACCAATACCAGGAACCGATACCAATGCAGTTGCTTGAAAATGGCTTCACTGTAACTTGTCATTTCTGTTCACCTAATATTTTAGTTTTGTGATGATTTCCATTCATATATTTTACTTTTTATCTACCTCACAGTCTTTTCCTGTTGAAAGCAGAGAAGAAAGTAAAATCTGCATTCCAAATCATTGCATTTTTTTTTTTTTGTGTGGCAGAAGTATCTGTATTGGTATCGGCGAGTACTAAGATCGGTTTGGAAAAAAGTGGTATCGTTGCATCCCTAGTTTGAACATGTTTTTACTAACTTAAATCAGAATGGACTTTATTGTGATGTTTGTACACATTCCGATTTAAGATGGCCCAACATTAGTGTGTTAACGTTTAAAAAAGTTCAAAATTTGAATCGAAGCGAGACTACTACAAATCCCCTTGCTTTTGAGTATTTGTGTGCACGTCCCTTTGAGCTGATGCACTTGCTCGTTGTGACGGGGTGGGCAGGGAATACTGGGGACCCCCCCCCCCCCCCTCTAAAGGGAGCTGAGCACCATGTTGGAAGTGGAGCCCCCTGCTTGCCCCAACAGCCAGCCGTGTGGACTCAGTGATGGGCAGAGGCAAGGGGATCCTGAAGTCAGCAGGTGCGTTCTCTTTCATCTGTTGCAGCCTAAACAGCTCCCAGACAAGTGGCAGCACGACATGTTCGACAACGGCTTCAGTGGCTTCAATGGTGCTGCTGGGGGCGGCGGGGGAGCTGGTGTGGAAACTGGAGGGAAGCTCCTCGTCTCCAATCTCGACTTCGGTGTTTCCGATGCAGACATTCAGGTACTCCAAAATCCGCGCTTCACTGGTTGGTTGTGTTTTATGGCTTGTTGCTGTCTTAGACTAATCTTGGATGTACTTTTTCAAGGAACTTTTTGCGGAATTCGGAACTCTGAAGAAAGCTGCAGTTCATTACGACCGGTCGGGAAGAAGCTTAGGAACAGCAGATGTCCACTTTGAAAGGAGAGCTGACGCTCTAAAGGCCATGAAACAGTACAACGGCATCCCACTGGATGGTACGCTTCAGACCTTGTTTACATTTTTCTGGTTTGACATGACTAAATAATTCAAACTTTCTTGAGTGTTCAACCCCCTTTGAGCTGATTTATAGTGGATCACTTCCTCTCCTCAGGGCGACCTATGAACATACAACTTGTCACGTCACAGATTGACACACAGAGACGGCCGATGCAGGGGTAAGTTAAATGTTTATCTGATTAAAGCATTAAAGATTGGGTTGTGGTGTTTAATTATTTTTACTGTCTCAGGCTGGGCAGAGGGGGTGGCCGTACGAACGTGGTTGTGCGAGGGTTTGGGGGCATGCAGAGAGGTCGTGGGGGCCGTGGTGCTGGCGGTTTTCGAGGAAGAGGGCGAGGCGGCCGTGGAGCTGGTGGTGGAGCAAAGCAGCAGCTGTCAGCAGAGGAACTCGATGCCCAGTTAGATGCCTACAATGCCAGGGTGCGTTGATCTGACAACACAGGCTCTCTTGTTGGTTAATGTCACTAAATGGCAGTCTAATTGACTTTTCCTTTGTTTTCCTAGATGGACACCAGCTAAGAGACAAAGTGCTTCCTACTCCTCACCCCTTCCTTTCTGTGCAGAGCAGCGTGGTTGTTACACACGTGCAGAATATTTTACACTTGGTCGTCTTCTGGTGTGATTTGATGTTGTTCAGACCTTATTTTAAGTACTCCAAAGTGTTTTTTACCTGTTTTTTTTTTTTTTTTTTTTTTTCTCGATGAAAATGGTTTTTGACTGTAGGTTGAACTGGGTTTTGCCAGTTTCCCTCTGCCCTGTAGTAAATGAAACTTGTAATAAAAGCCTGCAGTGGGTATCGACCGATACTTGTATTTCTCAAATGTTTGTGTTTTTGTTTTGTCTGGTTTATCAAGGGCATTCTCATTACTGCCAAAAAATTGTTATTTTATTTTTAATTGTCTTGGTATAACATCTATTGGAATTAAACTTTTTGAAATGTCTGTGCAAGTGATGTTATGATAGTTGTTGGTCCAGTGGATCTAGTGAGCATTTTGTTTTACGACCTTGAAAATCCACTAGATGTCGCCATTTGTCCAACTCCTTGTGTGGTGTGTTGTAACGTTTTAGGGTATTGACATGAGGCTGCAGCAGAGAAAATCAAATGTGATTATTTAATGTGAACAAGTGAAAGTTACATTTAAGGGGAAAGTGTTTTTACCCGCGTGAATTGCAACAACTTCCGGTAGCGTAAGTATTGAGGGGAGCTTCCATTTTTCCTAAGTGAATACATATACAGGTGAGATTAGAATGTGGTGCAAAAGTCCATTTATTTCATAAAAAGTAAGAATCAGATGCCATCTAAAGGCTTGGGAACGGTTTGCGGGTGCTGTGGATTAACTGGTTGAGTATAGTGTGACTTTAAGCCTAGAATCTATTGATTTTCCTTTTTCCTATTCATTTTTTTCCCTTTTCTTTATTTTTAATGACATTTTTTAAGCAATCATTTTAAAAAATATTTTCATACTTTCAAGTTTTTGTGAAATGCCTCGTGATTTTTTTTACCTTGCGAGGCGCTATTATGTCGATGGGCGCTATAGAAAAGATTGCTTTAGAATATAGAACCTTTTCCTCTGAGGTTTCTTGCTTCGCTATAAGTTTCACATTTTTTAATTTAATTACCGAAGTAAATTGAGGTTTGCGCCATACATTTTCTAGTTTTACCTATATATGTTTACTGTATACTGAAAATTTCATAACAAAATACTAGTGGGGGGGGGGCATCTCTACCGTAAGTAAAGGGCAAACACAAGTGATTGTTTTGCTCTTGGTCCTTGTACTCAGCCACTGTCTATTTAGTATAGAGTAATATTGTTTTGGGACGATAAAAGGTGGAGGGGAAATTTTTGACTTTGGAACCCCCCATAAAAAATACGTACATGCTTGAACGTAACACTTAGATGGCCCCAATATTTGGTAAACCTCAATATAAGCATTTGCTTATTTTTCTGTAATTGTGTCTTATAATGTTGGAACTTCTTTGCACATTATTCTGATATAGAGATGAAACAATATGGGAAAATGTGCTTTTGACACGAATCAAACCTTTTATTATTACTGGTTATTAAATTTTATAACGATGAATTGTTATTTTGCTGTAGTGGAGTAATGTAGATTATGGATTATGAAGTGGTACCAAATGACTTGCTATTGTTGAAAGGGAGAATTAAACTTTTAACGTTTAAATGATAAGGAGTCAATTGAAGACCCAGAAACTAAACATTCATTAATTGGCCCCAAAAAAAAAACATTTAGGTGAATATTTACCGCCTTGAAGAATGCTTTTATTTTGAAGTGAAACCGGATGTACCCGTTAGCAGCAGCTCTTTGAGATTTTCCTCTGCCGCTTCACTCCCATTCACTGCCTCAGTCGAGCAGAAGTGGAACGGTAAGACTTGCCAAAAGTATCCTGTAGGCATTTTAGTTGCTTGTTTTAACCCATACACGTGTGATTATCAGTGAGCGTTTCACAAATATTCTTTAAAACATGGGAAAATGACCGCATTGACGCGACTTTTTGACAGGAACTACTTGACGATAAAGCTAGTTTCTTAACGCCGTTTGTCAGGTTGTAGAAAATATAGCATTTGAAACGGTTTTGCTTATTTTATTTACTGCTAGTAAAAGTTTGTCGCCCAGAAGGGAGAGTGTTCAAGTTGTCAGTGAATTTCCGGGTTTGGAGCCTGATCTGCTGTGCACGTGAAGGCGGTTAGGTAATGTTAATGCCACCGAGTTTAGCTATTTCCCTGTCTGGTGAAGAAAGTCACGTCCGGACTATTGAAAGTTCGCTGTAGCATGTCAGTGAGGACTCGTTTAAGACCGTGTCTCGTTAGCATGTGATCGGCTGTAGCAGGAACCTTTTCCTGCTACTTCCTGTGACTTGTCTGCCTTTAGATTTGATTCTGCTCACACCTCAAACAGCCACCATTTTGGCTCTTTGAAGGCCTCCTCGGTCAAGTGCACACATACATCACTTAGATCAATTTAACAGCTTAACTTAACCCACAAAAGTTACTTTTAGCTGGAGTGCTTTCCTTAAACTCGTGTGAGATCAGCTGAACCCTGTGTCCTTCCCTTTTCCTTCATTTGTGAAAAATGAGCCATAAAGCTTTTATTTATTTTATTTTTTTTATCGTTGTTGTTTTTTGTTTTGTAAACTTTTTATGGAACATTTCATTTGCATCCCTTCAGTTTGAGGTTGTGCTAGCTCGCAGGACCGGATGTCTCTTGTAGCTTTTTTTTTACGCTCTGACATGAGCTGATGAGGCCAAAGAGAAAGAATTTAACCAAAAAAAGGACCTTTGCGTTTCAGTTTAAGCTTTAAACTTCCCATCAGATCATACTATGTAGTAAACTGGTTCTTAATTCTGCAATGTTTCCCAAAATGCCAGAAATGTTAAAACACAGCATTAATTAGACATCTGTTTTTGTTGGTGTGGGTTCTCATTCATCCATGACACTGAAGTCTTTAAAATGAGACAAGTCCAGTTGACTTTCAGGATCTCTTTGTGTCTGACTGTGACCTGTTTTAGCTCTAAGAGGAATGCATGCAGGTATGGCAGCTATCTCCACCGACCCCCTTCACCCACAATGTGGTGCAGCTCCTCTTGTTTCAGTGGCCTGTCAGCTTGAGCATGGTCTTTCTCAGCCTCTTGTTATCTTCATTGCCTCGAGATGAGCTGAATCTCAGGAGGAGTAAATCTGTATCGCTGGCACCTTGACATTCACCCCAGTTTCCTGCAGGGGTCCATCACTGGCTATTTCTGCAACTTCCTGTTTGTTCTCTACCTTCCTGGGATGTACTGGTGCTTTGTTTCACCATCTCTCGTCTACTGAGACCCAACAAATCCTCATTACAGATTTCCCTGAATCAGAAGGCTCTTGGGTGGCAGACATCTTGCTTTTTTCCTTCAGCTTTGCTCAATTCTTCCATGTTGCATCAGGTCTTTACTGTTCGCTGCAGCACTTCCTCAAAGTTTTGGTTTGTGTTCTTCTGCATTCTTAGCATACTGAGGCACAGCCAGATTTAATCTAAAATTATAAATTATACTCGGCGTCTTTAAAAACAGACTTAAGTTTGTTTTGCTAGTTTAGTTACAGTAACAGTAGACTATGAGCTTCTCTGCACTGATTGTGTTATAGCACCATAAAGGATGTGAGTCATCATACTCTTGCATGAAAAAGGAAGTTAGCAGTTAAGGGCCCATATGCAGCTCTAGTCTCAAACAAGGCACCGCTGCATAGTTTCAGACTCGTACCAACCTACGTGATCATTTCAAGAGTAGTGTTTAATGTTTTCTGATGTTCAACATTACATTCAGTTATTTGCAGTTTAAATGGATATTTCTGGTCATTTTCATGTTATCTGTCATAGATGGAATGGCCTCAGTTCAGAAGTATGTTACTTGTTTTCAGTACTGATGAGCTAACAGCTAGACAAAAGCAGCCAGGTCCAAATTGTGTTGTTTCAATCTTAAAGGCTTGGGAAACTGAAAACCCCTGTTTAATGATTATTTCTGATTATAATCAGTCAATCTGAGTTTTTATGCAGGCTGAACAAGAAAATAGTCTCCTACACCTATCTCATGCATTAGCTTCTGATGGAAAATAGACTGTGACACTCTAGGATTTGAAAGTCCTGACAGATCTACATCACACTGTCACATAACGTTCATGGACTCGCTCATCTCGACTCATGACTGCGAAGGCTGTTGTTGGTTTAGTGTGCAGAAAACCGCAGAGAACATCTAGACTAGTTGAAGCTAACCATTAGCATTAGCAACTTAACCATACAGCAGAAGCTCCTCCAGGCTTGTCGTATTTGTAATGATAAAACATTCATGATGCAAAGCAAAGTCGTTGGTAGAGTTGCGTTGCTGTTAGCCAATGAGAGGAGAGATGTCCAAATATCAGGGACTAAGACTCCAAATCCTGTCGTGTTCAGCTCTCCTCTGATGTGGCATTCTGCTAGTTCCTGAAACAAGCACATCTGAGCTTTTTTTCTCCCCGAGTACGACTCACAAGTAGGGTTGGGCATTGAGCATCGATTGGAACCGGGACCAACTGTTAGTTTTTCCCAGAATCGTTCAAAGATTTTTATTTCGATTCCTAAAATGCCGACCGGAAGAGGAATCCGGGGGGGGGGGGGGGGGGGGGGACAGTTGAACTTTTCTGAAGGAAAATAAACTGATCCAAACGAAATGGCGGTTCAAAGGTCTATAAAGGAACATTTGCAAATATTGGAAACCTTAGGAGAATTTAGCTGTTAAATTCTGCAGCAATACACTTTGGTCTTGGTGTGCTTTGACTACCTGTTAGCATATCATCCCTGTGGTATGTAAACTCCATTTTACCAAACCGAGGCTACTCGGGAAGCACCAAATATCAACTGAATTAGTTAACTTGGAGATTGGGCAATGCGAAATTCAAAAGGTTGTTTTGTTTTTTGTCACTTTTGCTACGCAACTTAAAAGGAAAGTCCTTTTTTTCTGGTCCATAAACTCCTCATATCTAACTGCTACAGACCAATGAAAACAGCTAAGCCACGTGGCCAGAATCGCACTTATGTAAAACAATTCTTAAAAATTATAATCCGTTAAAGTTGTTTGAGATCAGTCAGAATCAGGCCAAATGTGTTTCAGTGAGTCTGAGCTGTAAAAGAAAATCTGCTGTTGCAGAATTCAACACGTTGGGCGGAATAAACAGACGAGTCCAAAGATCTCTGATTGGACAGAAAGACGGCAGTGCTGGGAGAGCAGAGGACCAAAGCAGAGCTACAGACGTCTCGGTGTCCTCTTTAGTGAAGCAGCAGTCGTCTCCTGTTATTGTCTTCGATACAAGCTTTGGTCCACGTCCAACTAAATCAGGACACAAAGTATCAACCGAAACTCCAGAACTTCCTGTTATCTTTCATCAACCTCTCTTTTACTGCTATGAGGTCCGTTTCCTGTTGGTTGATGTTAACGTTTGACTCTGTCTTTAATACTTGACTGTTAAAGATGATCAAATACAATTTAAGAAAAATTATATTGATAGGTGATGGAATGGCTAATGCAATGGGAGCTACAAAAGCATCTGTAACCATAATCTAGTTTCATCCATGTTGCTAAGAAACAGACCTAATCTGAAACCTTAGCTGCTGCCAGGCCTGGTGTGTTTTTTAATTTGTGCCGCTGCTCAGGTCTAGATATACTATTTACCCTCAGGACGTAGAGAAAAGAGGAACCCGTAGACCCGAAATTCAGCAGCAGACTCGATCTCCTAACCTCTAATCTGATTCCACGCAGGGTGAACAATGACACAGCCTTCTCCTGGTAGAGTAGCAAGTCACCACTTAACCACGTTGTTTAGGCCAGATGGAAGAAAAGGCCTGTCATTATGAGCGTGGCGGTGGTGTCAGTGATCCTGCTGGTAATTCGGAGCATGTGGGCCATTTAAATTAGCAAATCAGCAGTTTTGTTGATAGGAATGAAAACGATGCAGCTAACTGGCGTTGCGTAATCTCCTTTCTCATTGCTTGTTGGTGTTGAAGAGTTGAGTGAAGACACAGATACATCACCGCTCAAACGATCTCTGCACTCTCAAACCAGCCGTCTCACCTCAGGGTCGCGTCATTCTAACCAAAGTTGGTTTTTGATTTCAGTTCACATAGTCGTTGTTGTGAGGAGAAGCTCTGACTTGAAAGATGAGTTATTTTGTTGAAGACCAGCCAATAATCTGATAGAGCGTAGCCTGCCGGCGACGTCTCGGTATGCTGCAGTTTGGAGGCGAGAAAAACAACCTGCTCCTCATCGCCGTGCACGAGCGCCTCTGTGTTGGTTCCTCCTGTTTTTCTCGCTCCTTCTTCTAAAGCAGCTGACCAGCTGAAACACGCAATCGGCTGCTGAGGAATTTGTGCTTTTATGGCAGCACACGGGCCTCATTTGGAAAAGGGGGAAAACAGTGTATACACTCAGTTTGAGATGCTAACACTCAGATGTGTATGGAGATTGGTGTGTGTGGTGGTCCACCTGAGCAGGTGGACGTATCTCACAAAGCATCATCCACCATTATCATTGATCCAGTGGCTAAAACGTTTGATTTTCACCCGTTTAAAACAAACTGACCATAAATGTAAATTAGGTCTTTTCGTATGGATCCTTCCTCTTTCACTGCAGCCTGGTTCAGGATCCAAGTTCTCTCCTAAAGCACAGCTCTCTCATCTGCTCACTTCTCTCTCCACACTGGAATGTTGCTTTGGTCGGAGCTTGCTTGACTTCTCCATCTCTCGGGAAGCTGGCTTGTTTTAACAAGAAACGCGGAGACTCTTCAGGGTGTAGCTGCATTCGTGGAAAATTCTGCAGCATTTTTTTAAATTAATTTTCACTAACATCTCATCTGTTTTAATAAGAATTCTATGATTTTATGTGGTACAGTGGATCAGAGCTGAGGGCTGTGTTTTGGGCTGATTTGTGTGTCTGTATCTGGAGCGTTTGAGGCAGAACAGGGAAAGAACAGACTGGAATCCAGCTGGCTTCTGCAGGTGTGGATGGACACGTGTGTTCCAGCTGCTATCAGTAACTTTTCCTTCCGGAATTATATCAAAGCACCAGGAAACAAAGACTTCTTACTTTGAAGCTTCTAATCATCTGTGGCAGAGTGGCTGGATGGAAATAACCTGCTGGAGGCTGATCAGTTTGTAGTGATAAACAACTAAACCCAGAGCTTTTAGCCCATTGACCGTCTAGCTGTTTGTGTTAAAGCAACACTAAATAAGTTTCCTGCTTCTCCCTCCCACTGGTTGAAAGCCAAATTAAGCCTGATTTATATGTCTGCGTGGAGATTTGCAACGCCATTATGCGTCGGTGCACAGGCTCTCCGAGGCTCACAGAGGGTGACGGAGACATGCCCAAAATTTTAAACATCTGTCGGAAGTGACGGAGACCGCAAGCCCGTGATTGGCCAGGACGCCACTTCCTGGAAATGTGTCGCCAGCTCCGCCATTGCCCCGTTAAAAAGTAAAAAGATATGGAGCAGCAGACCCAGTGCACATAGAAGAACACGTCTCGGAAAAAGTGTGAACAGGGTATCTGCGGGTCCTTAAAAAGTCTTAAATTTGCTTTTCAAAATTTAAGTCCTTAAAAATCCTTAAAAATGACTAATAATCCTTAAATACAGTTTCCAAAGGTCATAAATTACCAAACACCCACTAAACAATATTCTTTTATTTCAATTAAAATTTTGTGAATTTCTAGTTTGTGTTCAGGACTTTTGTGTGTGATGTTGGCGTAAGCAGAACCGTACACATTCAGCTGGTTGTGAAACGGGGCTATTTTTAGATGAGCACATTAGCTGGTTAAGCTAGTGGGAGCTTGCACCATGGGGAAGTTTAATGGTAACTGGATGGCTAATCCCACGTTCGCGATGTGGTTAGCACCGGTTCCAGGCAATAGCTGGAAATTATAGCTTAAATTTAATTTTAAAAATAGCTTAAAAAAGGTCTTAAATATGGCCCCCTTAAACCTGCAGATGCCCTGTGTGAAAGTATGAACTTTTATTCACCCGTGACTGAAGGAATACATAATACGGAGCAGATGTGAACGGAAATGTGGGTTTAGAGGTGGTGACCGCATGAAGAGGTGGAGGGGAATAAAGGACAAATTTGTTCGTGTTATAAAGTCTCACACGTTAGTAAATACACTATCATGGACCAGATGCATGAGTGTTATGGTGGTAGGACACCACAGAACAGTGCTACGCCCTCTGTTGTCATGGCGAGGAATTTTTTTGCAACGCTCAGCTGCCTGAACAGAAGTTCGCATGTGAAAACCTTTTCGACACTGTGCGTCTCTCCATTGCAGAGCTCACGGAGAAGTATACATCAGGCCTTACAGCTGTCATAAACAACTCTACTGTAGCTAGCGCTAACAATGAGCTAATACTAACATGAGCCAACTGATACTAAATAAGCCACAATGTAGAAAGTTCAACACGGTTGTGCAAAAAATATTATTACCTACAAGCCCAGCAGCAACAAAGCCAGGTCACCATCAGTCTGTGATTTCATATCCTTCTTTAGCTCCCTTGAGCTAATGTAAGCTGCGCTGATGTTTACTCTGGTTTTAGCTCTTTGCTCTACTTTTCCTCCCAGTCTTCTCCACAATGCCAACAACAAAAGCTAAATTCTTCTTGTACTTTTTATTGGCGGTCGGTGAACAGAACAAGCTAACTGCTAGCCTGTATATTAGCTAGAGGCACAGTAAACAGCTGATCCTGTAAAGCAGTCAGAGACCTCCCACTAGAGTTTGTACCACAAAATTGCTGAGTGAAGTTTCTGGTTAGCAGTGCTGTCCTGAGTGAAGTTGCTCAAGTTTCTACATCAAGAACCACTGAAACCAGATTGAACGCAATAACTTCAAAGTATTAAAAACTCTTTAGTGTTGTTGTAAAGTGTCTCATATGTCATAGATCTACAGAACACTAGCTCGGTAAAAACTAAAGGTTCCTACTGAAAGCAGGCTTCCACATACATGACTGCATCATTATTGTGGTGCGTTCACAGACCTCCCCAGAGAATTGGACTTTAGAACACTGGATTGAGCCGTCAAGCTGTTGGGAACAAACAGATTAGAGTGGTGGTGAATTGATCAGTGTTGCTTCTCCCAGCATGCACTGATGTTTAAGCTGCCATGTCCTCAGGTCAAAGTTCACTGCAGTTTTTGATCTAGATGAGTCACCCATCAGCCGAATGTTGCTGCTGTTCAGCTTCACATGTAGATTTGATTAAACCGCTCCATTTACTTGTGTTTGTGTTTTAACCCTTTCTCTGCTGCTGTTACAGTTTAACACGCCATGGCAGAGCAGGACCTCACACCAGAGCAGCTGGCAGCCATCGCAGCAGCCAATGAAGAGGGCGAGTCTGGCGTCAACTACAAACCTCCCGCCCAGAAGAGCTTACAGGAGATCCAGGAGCTGGACAAGGATGACGAGAGCCTGAGGAAGTACAAGGAGGCGCTGCTGGGATCGGCCGCAGTGGTGGCAGGTTGGTGACGGCCAGTGCTTAATTTGAGCCGGATGTTGCCGGAACAAGATCCGGGAACAATTTTATTTTGAAAGGACCATTCCGGCAACTGTCGGGTAGGATCCGGCAACTCACACGACAAACTTGTGCTATACGCAGGATTCGAATTACAGGTGAGCTAAAGGGAGCTCCTGGAAACCCTGAAACTGAAATAGGGGAACAGTAAAGATGCAAAAAACTACCGTTGTTAAAAGACGTGTTTAACTTAGAAAATGTGGGCGCAATTTTTGTCAAACCCCCACCCCCCCACCCCACCCCCAACCCCCTTGCGTATTCCGGCTTCTGTTTTACCTTCAGTGAACTTTGGTTTGACATCAGTATTTGAGTCGTGGAGGATGGCTGCTTATACTGAGCCAGGATTCTCTGGAGATTTCTTCCTGTTAAAAGGGAGTTTTCCTCTCCACTGTCGCTATATGCTTGCTTAGTATGAGGATTGCTGTAAAGTCACTGACACTAGTCAGTGACTTGATGCAATTTGCTGGGTTCCTTACATAGGAAACGTTTTTTCTGATTGGCTTAATGAACTGACCTGAATTGGCATGTTTATGTGAAGTGCCTTGAGACGACTCTTGTCATGATTTGGCGCTATATAAATAAACTTGAATTGAAATGTTCCGGGAACGTTGGATTTACAAATTAAGCACCGATGGCGGCTCAGATAAACCTCCCGATGCCTTTCAGAGAGACGAACACACACCAGTGTTTTTATGTTGGAGTTGCTCTGGGTGTTTGTTCTATCAATAGATCGGTTATTTGTCGTGAAAACACTTCAGCCTCTTGGACCATCGGACACTATGATGTAGTCCACGCTCGTTTCAGCCTGTTTTCCTACTTGGTTCTCAGCTCAAACCCAAAGCAACAACTGGGATGCCGCGTGCCAAAAATAGTTTCTGAAATGGTAAAATGAAGTTTAATGACCTGGAACTGTTGGCATGTGGCTAAGAGATCAAAACGCCCATCAAAAGAAACATTTTTATAAACGTGTGAAAAGATTTCGTAAAGTCAGAGTTACCACTTAATGATCAGACATTTTTGTCTCCTTTCTTATTTTTATGGCAGTTTTTTAATATGATGAAATCTGGACAAGTTTTAAGTCATGATTCTGTTTTTTTAAAAGAGGTGCTTTAAAATAAGTGTCCGGATTTGGATTGATGGGACCATTTTATTATTCTTTTAGATCCTAATGCTCCAAACGTTCAGGTGACACGGATGACCCTGGTGTGTGACACGGCACCTGCTCCTCTGGTTCTCGACCTGACAGGTGAGTTTGATGCTAATTAGATTTTAAAAGCAGCTGGAAACCAAATTCCCCTAAAGTTCTCAACAAAGAGCCGTGTTTAAACAGCTGGTGCTGCACTCGGACACGTCGGTGGGTTTGGAACTCAAAAGTATTCAAAATTCAATAAATGAGACATTATGAAATAAACATCTACATGAAGAAATTAAGACAATCATGTAATCTGACAATGAAATGATGAAATAACAGAATGTTATGTAAAATCTAAGCTCAGTATTATGAAATATTTTCATTCTTCTTTTAAAACATCTTTATTAATTTAATGTTTTTTAAGTCATTTTTTTATAATGACCCAAATTCATATTGAGCCATTTTTGATTCAGTTTTTATTACGTAACGTCTTTTTAACAAAGACAGCTTTGATTTCATAATAGTGTTTTTTCCCATGGCTGATTTATTTCATAATGACACTTTACTGCAGAATGTCTCAGTCAAGCCACTGGGTGTGACCTGCAACACCACTGGTTAATCCTTCAGCATCGTTTGGTTTTCTGCTCACCGTACATGGCCGGACAGTTTAAGGTAGTTCTCTGTAACACCTTCCTCGGTCAATGGTCATGAAAGATGGCGGCGTTGCTTGAACTTAGTTTAGCTCGGTTTCTTTGGCGTATCAAATAGAATAGTTTGTCAGTAGACGATATTTTGAGTTGTTTGGGTGACATTTTTGAAGCATTTTGGTTTGATACTTTGTGAGCGATTGCTTTTGTCTGACTGAATTAGCAGCCAATGACACACTGGCTCCACCCCGTTAGTCTTGACTGACGGACTGAGACATTCTGCTGTAAAGTGTCATTATGAAATAAAAGAGTTCCATAGGTGGGGGCCTCGGTGTGATCACCATCCTTGTGCACAAATAGATCAGCTGTGTCATTAGTCCACTAGTTGGTAATGACATGGTTCCAGTGCATGTGGGTTAATGAGCCATTTCCTGGTGCTCCTTGGCTCTCCCAGAGGTCAGACTGAGCTACAGCACCGTTCCCCCCCTAGCAGGCGCCAGAGTCACTGCAGCTCAGCTGTTCTGACCTCACACGCTAGCTCTGACTCACTTCTGTTAACTCTGATGCTTCATCCTGTCAGGAGATCTGGAGAACTTCAAGAAGCACCCGTTCACACTGAAAGAGGGAGTTGAATACAGAATAAAGATCAACTTTAAGGTGGGTTACCTCCATCAGCTCCTAAGTTAAGGAGTCATTTTACCATCATGGAGACACCATGCATGTTGGCTTTTGCAGGTGAACAAGGAGATTGTCTCAGGACTGAAGTACAATCAGCAGTTATTCAGGAAATCCGTCAGAGGTGAGGCTGCTCTCGTGGATTTGTGTGGTGATGCATTCCTGTTCTGACTGACTCACCTGGTTAGGGTTAGTTGTGTTTCACAGATCAGAGTAAACAGAAAATACACTTTTTTTCTGTTGATGATTTCATTGATTGAGAAAACGGTCGTTCAGCCCAGCCTGGTCCTGCGTGAAAACTCGATTCACTCTAAAACATTCCTGGCAACAACCAGGAAGTGTGTTTGACAACCGCTGATGAGTCTCACTGTGGAGGGATTTGGTTCCTCTTCAGTTTTTCTTCAGCCACATTAGAGGGCTTGTGTCGGGTCAAAGGTCGGATGTTAGAACCAGAGCCCTATCTGACGTTCTGATTTGATTCTGGGGTTTCTTTGGAATGGGGCACAACATGTTGCTTCTTCAGGTCTTTAGCGGACTTCATGAGTTCAGTTTATTTAAGGAGAAGTTACTTTGTTCCCTTAAACATGAGATCATCGTTTAAAAACTTCCGTTCATTTTTCGTTCGGATGTTCTGTGTCTGATTACTGATCTGAAACATTTCAACGTGACAAAAGGAGAATTCCTGCCGGTTTTAACCAGAATCAGACTCGACGCCATGTTACTGCCCTCATTAAAACCTGAAGGTGATGTCGCTCATCCTCCACTGCTCTCTCTCTCACTCTCACTCTCTCTCACTCTCTACCATCCAGTCGATAAGTCGGACTACATGGTTGGAAGCTACGGCCCCAGACCGAACGAGGAGTACGAGTTCCTCACCACCCTGGAGGAAGCCCCCAAAGGGATGCTGGCCCGTGGCACCTACTCCATCAAGTCCAAGTTCACCGATGACGACAAGTACGACCACCTCTCCTGGGAATGGGGCCTCGTTATCAAGAAGGACTGGAAAGACTGATCCCCTTCCTCCTCGCTCTCTCCCGCCATCACCCTCCTGCTTTATCCAGCTTTCCTCTTCCTGCAGTCATTCCATGATTTCTCTCTGGATTATCTTTTTTTTTTTTAAGGCTTTCTGCTCTCTCCGTCCTTTTTCTACATCCCAATCACACCATCATTCCTCTCTATTGTAGAACTCTTGTTTACACTCGCCTTTTCTGACTAGTATTAAATCCTCAAAAAGCAAAACTATATGGAGAAAGCACACGATGTGCCCAGCCATGATTCAGGTTTGTTTCTAGGAGCAGATCTGACTCTGATTACCTCCGAGCTGCGCCCCTTTCCTTCACTTCTCTTGCCGTTTTGTACGAATACCACAATCTGCCTTTGCGAGCATCAGGAAGCAGTGATGCGGTTGCTGTATGGTTATTGAGCTATCGTAGCTGGACTGGGCCCAGCTAAAGCCTGAGAGCAGATTATTTGGGCCATGTTTAACCATTTAGTCCTGGACCAGAGATCAGAGGTGACCTCTAACCTCTTCCTGTGAGCAGCCATGTGGCCTTAGCAGCAGCTAGAATACAGGGAGAAAGTCTCGATGAGCCATTTGCTTTCAGATTCGAATGTCTGAGCTTGTTTTCATAAAATAATGGACACAGAATGAGGACCAAGGATTGAGATTATCTTTATTTCAGGTCTGTAGAAACCATTAGACATCTGGTGGCATGTATTTGCAGTGGTTTGAGTCTGGTGTGTCACCACAGCTCATGATGTATTAACTGTGCCTTTATGCTCTCCCTCTTCATCACTGAAGGAAGCACCAACCTCAGCCCTGAACTCCAGGTTTTATTAAACACTCCAGAAATAAATGAATGGGTGCTGTCCATTTGACTTCCTTCACAGTGAGCTGAGTTTAAATCAATGTCTGTGTTACCAGCTGTTTACTGATGTGTTCAAATAAAAATGTTCCGCCTGGATGTGTGTCTGGACCTTCTTTACTTCTGATCTGTGGGATTTAACTTGCTACAAATGCATCAGAGCCAACAAACGTGTTTTACAAGATCTGACTGGATCAGTTCAACAGCCAGGTTAGTTATATTTTATTACATATCAAGTTACAAAAAGATTCAGGGTTGGGCAGATGAGTTATTTGGTCTTTCTGCTCTTGCTGGAATTCACGTCCCTCTTGGTCTTCTGCAGGCGGGAGAAGATCTCCTTGAACAGGGCTTTGTACTCGGGTGTGTTCTGGCTCAGCCGTCTGTCCACCTGTTCCACTTGCCTGCTGATCCCCTCCAGAGCCTCGGGAGTGGAGGGGGTTTGAGGGGGCGTAGGAGGGGTGGCGACGGCGGCCGAGGCCCCTGATGTAGAAGGCTCCACGGGAATCATGCTGTACTCCTTCATGGAGGGGTCTCTGGAGACAGGTCTAGAGGTCTGCACCCCAGCGTGGCACAGACTCTCCTCGTGCCGCCGGCACTTCCCCAGCAGCTCCTCGTACTTCTCCAGCAGGGTGTGATACTGCTCATCCACTTCCCGGAGGATAGACATGCCCCGTTTGCGCGTGCCATTGGCGTGGAGGCTGTAGCCTGCCTGGCGTCTTCCTGATGGAGCAGAGATGGCGTTCAGGGCTGTGTCGCTGCAGCTTTTCCTCACCGGTCCTCCCTGCTGTCCAGCTGCTCCTGCATCTCCCTCGCCTCCCTGGTCTAGTCCCGTTCCATCCTCTGGGGTGTCCATCTCAGGGCCGTCGCTGAGCAGCGTCTCCAAACCGTCCTCAATCAGGGACGCCCTGGACTTCCTGAGCTGCTGCATCTCCTGCAGCTCTGCTTCTAGCTCCTGGACGCGCAGCTGGCAGCCCTCAGCTCCCAGGAGGCGCTGCTCCAGACGCTCGAACTCCTGCAGCACTGCCGCGCACTCCCGCTCAGCGCTCTCGCGCTTGGATCGCTCCAAGGCCATGGCAGAGTGCAGGGATGACACAATGTCTCTGAGGCGCTCGTTTTCTTCATCCATAGGCTGTCTCTCCACAAGGTCCACACTGCCCGGGTTGGCCAGCAGGAAGCCATCCTCGTACCTGGACAAAGGTCACATCACAGGATTAGAAGCAACTGCAGTCATGGTAAAAAGTGAGGTGTGCTCACTGAGTGCATCTGCAGTGAATACGGTAAGCCACTTTAACATTTATAGTTGTGTTCCAAGCTGACAGGAGACTGTGAGGGACCTGGGAGCGCTGCACAGCTCCTTCAGGCAGGGGAACGAGTGGATGGTCTTGCGGCGCTCCTTCTTTTCTCGATGCACCCTCAGCTCCTCCAGCATCCTCAGCTCCTCCACCCGAGCCGTGAGGCTGTCCACCAAACCCTGCAAAGACTCCATGGTGCCGGTCAACCTGCGGCACACCCAAATGGCACAAGAGTGAGCACTGGTAGTAAACAGCTGATCCCTCAGAACATTTTATAGAGAACATGTGGAAGGTGGCTGGTCCACGTCTCCATGGTGTTCAGTTGGCTTGTGGCCACTCGGGATCAAAATTCTTTAACGTGATGACAAAGCAAATCAAGGTCCTCGTTGTTCTGGGGAGGATTTAACACGTCAGAGGACCTAAAGGGTTTGTTGCATCTGTAAGCACTAAAGCTTTATGGCTAGTAACATTCTTATCGTGCAGTCCTTCACACGCTTTGATTTTTAAACTATGATACATTTTCTACTTGTGCAGCTCTACAAGTGTGAAACTCCGTTTCTGTGCCATAATCACACAAATTCACAAGTGAGAGGTATTTCTGTCTTGGTGTGACCAACGTCCACCTACCAGGTGACCCCGATAAAAACTTGAGCTGGGTCGGGTCACCTGTCTATTTTCTGCTGCGCGGTCTTGCTCTCCAGAACCAGCTTTTCGTTGGTGATCTCCAGTTCTCGGGCCGTCACGTCCAGCTGTTCGTACACCTTGGCGTGCTGCTCGTTCATGTCCCTCAACGTCTCCAGCTGCTTGGAGAGGTGCTGCAAAGGTGGTTTCAAATAAAAACAAGAGCCTAGCTGATTATTTCCACCAATCTCACGTCCAGATCTGTGATATTCTAGCAAGTTGGCACATTTCAACACAAAACCCTGACAGATCGTAAAACTGGTCATTTGTTAAATTGTTTAGCTGTGTTGTCACTAAATTACTTAAGCAAAGCAAATTTATTACTTTTTTTCTGTAACTAGTTTATGAACACTGCTTTTAACGGCAGTCATGTTGGTCTTTTATTGATGTCTGATTTATGTTTGTAAACATGTTACAGTGTTCTAAACAGGATTTATAAACAGCAGCTGGAGATAGTAAATCAATGTTTATAAATAGCATTTGAAACAGTGTTTATGAATTCTATAAATAAATAAAAATAACTGTAGCGTCATGAATGGCCTCTAATTTGTGACAAAGGTCACATTTTCCCAGCTGGGTCAAGCTGGGTCGACTGTAACTTTGCCCCACAAATTAAACACGCAAGGAGCCATGATGTCTGCTGAAAATCATCTTTATCTGCTGCTGTTCCGTCCCAGGCTGAAGGACACTTCAAGTTTCTCAATAATAATTTTAAATAATAATTTTAATAAACTTTTGACTTTATTACTGTTATTACAATCATCATAATAATCTCTTGGATCAGTAAATGTACTTTAATTACTGAAATGATTTCTTATGCTTTGGGTATAATTGTGATTATGGTTGATAATCAGTTATGTGTGTTCAGCAAACCAGAAGGTCATCTTGCACGTAACCAGCCTCATTCAGAAGGGATATCCAGGGTAAGGGTAACATCATCACGTCTTTTACTCATGACCAAGCTTTCTGAGGCCGAGAGTGGGCGTGTTCTGAGGGTTTTGTTAAAACTAAATTTCCAGCAGCAAAAGTTCAGTTCTTGAACCATACGAGGAGATGAGGGAACGGCCACCCGAATCTCTACTAAGCTGTTCTGTCATGCCGATAGAATTGCCCTGAATAAACGCAATAATAACCAGCTGACCCAAAACTCCTTCAGAGTTAAGCCAGACACTCGACACCATGTACCCGCGACATCTCTGGACCAGAGGATCGGTTCTACTCGCGTCTTCTCTACCGGACCAAGTACCCTGAGGCTGACAACATCCTCCTTGACCTCCGGATACACACAGAGGGTCGTCTTGCTGGGTGAGGTAGCACACAAGATGGTGTTTGACTCTGTTCTTCTAAGAAACGACTCAGTTAGCTGCAAAACCATCATTTCCAACCCAGAACTCGCTTCTCTCGCTGAAAGAAACCTTCTGACAACATTCACACATCCAAAACTCTCATTTCCATTTTAGCTTTCATTCAGTCACAGGTTTGCCTTTAAAACAAGTTTAATATCAAATTGTCATTTCAAATTGTCATTTTTTAACATTGTTAGTAATAAATTCTTAACTTTTAAACTCTGCCTCATCTTTGAAATGAAACACAGAATGGTATAAATATTCTTGGTTATTGAATAAGCAAAGATTCCCAACTTCTGATTAAATAAATAAACTTTTGCTATTAACTTTATCTTAAATTAAACATTTATCTTTGGATTAAAATTAGACCAAGCTCGTTGGCGTATGAACTTCTATCGAGTATATAAGATCCTAGATATTTATATATAATAGAAGCTTCAGTGTTAACTCGTATGGGTCTTTCCTCAGAATCTAACAACTGATTGCAAACAGTGTTGATTCTAGTATGTAGATTAACACGCTACAACTGGGTGGTTTTGTGCAAAGTTCTGAACTGAGACAACGAGCTTATGCTACTTAGCAGCAGATTTCACATTTTTTCTTAATCAGAAAAAAGTGAAACCAACTTAAGAGATTTTAAAAATCCCACTGTTAAGCATATCCTAAACACTTTACTGCCTGGTAAGGTCCAGCCACATGTCTTCTCTACCAGATTAGCGACAAAATGATTTGTCCCAGCTCATAGCTGTTAGGAATAAATGGTTAACGTAGCACTGCTAATAAAGAAAAGTTTGAATTATTATTACTAAAAAAACATGTAATGAAAAAAAACACCCTTGGAGATTTATAGATTGATTTAAAGCTCAATGCAATCTAATGAAAAATGTCTGCTGATGCTTACGAACATCAGGACAGGTAGCAGTTGATGCGGTCATACCTCTATCTCATGCACTTGCTCCTCATTGTTGATGTACATGTGCTGCAGAGAGTCTTCCAGCTCTTTGTTGCGTTCCAGGAGAGTCTTTCCGAGCTCCGCGGCCAAGTGCAGATCTGATAGAAGTAAAGACGGAAAGAAATCAGCAGAAAGGAACACTAGACTGGTTACTGCAGCTTCTGAAGTGACTTAAAATCCACCTAAATCCACTGAAAACTAAATGCAAATATCTACATATTAGGGATGTTATTCTTTAGTGTAAAATTGACCAAAAAAGGGGTTTTATGGCAACAGCAAAAGAAAATTTTATATTTATATATATATATATATACATATATATATATACATATATACATATATATATATACATATATACATACATATATATACATATACATATATACATATATATATACATATATACATATATACATATACATATATACATATATACATATATATATACATATATACATATATACATATACATATATACATATATATATATACATATACATATATACATATATATATATACATATACATATATACATATATATATACATATACATATATACATATATATATACATATATATATATATATATATATATATATATATATATATATATATATATATATATATATATATATATATATATATAGAAAAATCAAATTTAGAGTTAATGAGTTGATTCAGATGATTAGGTTAATAGCTCGTTTAGAGAACCTTTTCATGATATGCTAATTTTTTGAGATAGGAATTTTGGGTTTTCATGAGCTGTATGCCAAAATCATCAATATAGAAACAATAAAAGGCTTGAACTACTTCAGTTGTGTGTAATGAATCTAATATACATGAAAGTCTGTTTATCAGTACATTACAGACAATAATGAACTTTATCACAATATGCAAATTTTTTGAGAAGGACCTGTACATATCTACATACATACATACATATCTCCACACACACACACACACACACACACACACACACACACACACACACACACACACACACACACACACACACACACACACACACACACACACACACACACACACACACACACACACACTTTAACAGCATCATTATTTTGTCACAATTACATAAATTTTTACATATTTAAAACACAAATCACACTATTATTATGCTAGCCCTAAAATAATAAAAAAGAGGCTATGGCTAATAATTAGCTTTTTGCTAACAGGTGAAAGTACAGCAAATATATCGCCATAGCCAAATAATTAGTGTAAATCACATTAAACGAACAAATCTAAAGACGGACATTAAACACAGCTTTAGTTTTACTGACTCAGTTTCGTGAACACACTAAAATGGTGAGGCTCAGAATGTGTCACACTTAAATGTCCGGGTAGAAACGTCCAACGCGTGTCATTCTCATGTTTTACAGAAGATTGTTCTGATCTTTCTGCTTTGGCAGATTTTAATCAGCAAACCTTAACCCATCAGGGTCTGAAATTGAGATTTTTCCTACTCCTTAAACATTAGTAGAATCAAGAAAGGAACAAACCAATATTTTGGGTTTCAAATAACACGCTGAATCAGCGCTTTATGGGCTACAAACACCAATTTCATTTTTGTAGTTTGGTTTTTACTTGGATTTCAAACAGTATCCTGGCTTTTTTTTGTTCCTAACTTTGTTGCATATTTAAAAGAATAGTTTGTAAGGATGAACCATGTGTCGAATCGAATCTAAACAGTTTACATTATTCATCTGGTCTGGTGGAGCTCAGAAGAACTCTGCTGCCAGGCTGTGTACTCGAGGGTACCCTAACATCACAACACTGGACCAGAAACCAACAGTTACCGATGTTCATCTCTGAGCATGAAAGTTTTATCACCACGGAGGTTTTTCCTCAGAGAGAACCACCTAGAAATGAAAAAAATATATATATTGCCCCTTAAGCCCCTCCCCTTACTCCCATGACTATGGATAGAATCCACGCCTCTCATTTGTGAGCGTGCATCTGTAGCCGGCCAACAGAACTAAAAAGGTCAGTCCGCCATACATCGTAGGAGAAGTAAGTATCCTGTTTTGAAATAAAGGGCTTAATTACCTCCATCTACTCATGCCTGAAAGAATAGTCCAAAGTTGCCATTCCTGGGGTCGACACCATCTTTGTAGTTTTTCTCCATCCAGCGTCTCAACAAACGTAGAGCTCTGTGACCAGCTAGACACAAAACTGTTCGAGCCAATGGTAGACCTGCTGAGGCTACAGAGGACGTGTCCCGCCAACGTCCGTGACAGCGTGGAGGGGACTCAGTGGTGGCGCAGGAGGGGGGGCGCTATAGCTCCCCCTGGATTAGTCCTTGCACCCCCAAGTAAATATTAGATTTTTTTTTTTACAATTTTATTTTATTTTAACGTGTGGATGTGATAATATTTAACATACAAAACAAAAATAATCAGTAAATTATCATATAAATAGTAAAAACTTAAACCAAAACAGGAAATTGATGCTAACCTTTGACCTCATTTTCCACCTGCGAACGAGTGCAAGGTAGAGCTAGTGGTTTTTGTTGCTCAAATTTCCACAGGTTCAGTCAGAAACGAATGAATCTTTGGAAGTGATCTCAGACCCACAAAAACCTACGAATCTGGATGAAGAGAGTCAACCCTCAACCACCGCAGCAGTTGAGGGTTTTGCCGCTGGAAATGCTAACACTAACGTTAGCTAACCTTGCAACACTATAGATGGTTTTCTGTATGGCTGTATGTGTTTATGATTTCACGGAAAAGTCAGCGATTGTTCATATGTTTATGATGCATATTAATGATTGTTTCAGGTGTTGTTGAGGTTTTGTGCACGCATGTTTTATCTGCTAGTGTTGAAGGTGTTTTAGCGAACAATAGGTACGCATGACCACTTCTTTCATAGAGCTCCGGACATCACGTGACTCTCAGAGAGTAGACGCCATGTTGGCAGGCAACAAATGTAAACAAATTGAACGGGATCGGCTTGGATTTTACTTCGGAGTTTACTTCACACTTTAAAACTGAAGAAATCTTTTTATATAGTCAGAAATTAAATAGACTAAACATCTCCGACCCTTACCGTGCCCCTGGAACACGTTTTTAAAACGCCAGAAGCTGTCGGAGCGGACTTCTTCCCGTACCTGGCCGGGGAACCCCTTGGGATTTCCCCGGAGAAGCTGGCTCCGGCGGCTGGGGAGAGGGAAGTCAGGGACTCTCAACGCTACTGCCCCCGCAACCTGACTCCGGATAAGCGGATGAAAATGGATGGATGGATGAACAAATAACAGATTTACATGTAAGTAGTTTAAATAGAGTGCTGTGCTGTTTGAATGTATAAACTGAACGCCAAGAGAAATCACTAGTTTGATTTGTTTCCATGAATAAAATAAATATGTCAGGCTGGAACGTCTCAGGATCTGTCTGAGATCTGTCTCGGTGAGACAGATAATAGCAATCCAAAGTGCTTTTCATGTGTGATCTGACAATTGATCAACCATTGCTTAAAAATTAAATACAGCTTTGCCGGTTAATTGCTCTGATCATAAAACATGTAAACGGCAGCACGCAGAAACACGAGGCAATGTTTTACGTGATGTTTACTTGCTGCTATGAGTAATAAGACAGAAAAAGCCACGCCAAAATAAGTTTAGGAAGCCCACTAAGAATCGTAATAAAAGCATTTAAAATAAATACCATACACAGTTGAGGAAACGTTGGTTTAAGTACCTGATATGAAGTGGTCGCTGCATAAGCGAAAACCTTTACTCTCGGGATCCCACAGTTTCATTTTAGCCCGGTCACTAGTGCGTTTTATTACAATGATCCAACGTTTGCGGCGCTCCGGATTTTGGGGAATCCTGTAGACGGCTCATTCCTTATGTCGTCTGCGTCTGTTCTGCATCCTGGGGCACAACAGGAATCTACCATATTTCCCGTTTGATTGAGTTTTCTGACAATAACAAATAGTCCAGCTGCGGGCTTCTGCCTGCCAAGATGGCGCCGTTTCGATTTGAACTGTTGCATGCCGGGAGAAGTGACGTCAACTCCCGGAGCTCTATAGCACCCTCAATAAAAAGACTAGCTCCTTCATAGCACCTGCAGAAAAACATTTCTGGAGCCGCCACTGAGGGGACTAGCTGATGTTATGACGAAAAATTTAAAATGGTTTAAGCTGTTTTCCAAATTAGCTATTGCAGCTTTAAGTGGAAAAATACACCATCTCCAAAACATTGGTCACATTAAATGTCCAGATTCACATAGCAGAACTCTACAAATATCAGAAATTGGAACTGGCCTGAAAAATAGTGTCTCTGCACTGCAGAGGGAGGAGAAGAAGAAGCTGTGACTTCCTGTTTAAACAAAGCAGAACTGATAATGGCCTGAAACACAGAATGATAATGAGCTGAGTGAGGAGAGAGCCACTCACACTGCTGGTTCTGTTCTTGCAACTGTCACGAGTTATGTAACGTAAGCATTATCCGTAGGGGAAAACCAACCATTAGATACCTCTGCGCTCCCAGTGATGCTCTGTGATGTGTGAATCACGCTCAGTAGCACCAACGTGACATCACCACGCCACGCCATCAGCGCGGATTTCACCTCAAGTTTCTGACAACAGAATAAGCAGTGCTGGCAGCACAGGTGTTGCATAACGACATCCTTTGAGATAAAATCCACCATGAGTGTTTGGACTTTGTGCCTCCAATCTGAGCCTGAAATCTCTGATCCAGACTGAGGAGCCTGGGGGGACTAATCAGCTCTGCTGGGGGATGTTTAACCTCTTCAAATGAGAGGAAACACACACCATCAGAAATCCACCTGCCATGATGATGCTGATGAGGCATACAGCTGATTTAGCTCTCTGGGTTAGCAGGTGATCAGGAGATGAGGGGATGTTGCAGAGCAGGACACACCAGAGCTGTCCTCTGAGGACCACTGAATCATCACTTAAAGGACACACTTCCCCATCAGTGGACATGCAATCTGATCCATTTCCTGTCTAGATGTTGTCAATCAACTCCCAAAGTAACCCGCTGATTCTAAATCCAGACATTGTCTCGATTTCCTCCCTAATAAAGACGTTTCCGCTACAATAGCCGGTGTTTTCTGACACGAGAGTACCAGAGTGTGCAGCTGAAACAGAGGCAGCATTCACCCGGTGGGAAAGCAGGACCATCTTACGGGAAAATCACTGACCAGACCGACAATAATTAGCAGAAATGACGAGCAGCCAGTTTCATGGGTGGATGCGATCGCACAAAGCTGACATATGAGAGGATGCCTCACCCTGCTCCAGATCCCGCTGGTCGTACCACGGTTCCTCCTCGTCCTCCTCCGTGACAAACTCCTCCATCCTTCCCGCACGAAGCATCAATGCTGCCAGAGCTTCTCCTCCTTTTCCTACTCCGACGGCGGCGGTGTGGCCAGGGCTATGCCCGGAAGTGACAACAAACCGCCGCTCCGTTTAAGACAAACGACTAATGAAACGTTCTGGGAGCACACCTGTTTCCAGAACCTCCCGCAGGTTTGGAATACGTTACCGAACCGCACGTGCAAAGTATAAAGGCGCAGGGAGACGGGCAACGGCGCCCCCAAGGGGCGCCAGGGGTGCCCGTGGCCACCCATGGACGACCCCCCCCCCCCCCCCCCCCCCCCAGCAAACGCCAGTATCAATAAATCATCTTAATATTAATGTTCACTCAAACCATAAATCGATCTTATTTATTCAAGGCATAATTGTAAAACAACATAAAAATAATACAATTAATGAGTAAAGAAATAATCAGAATGCTGCTCACCATTTAACCCTCCCACTGTCCTAATGGGTGTGACCCCGTGACGAAAGTTGACCATTGGCCAGGGTTGATGGTTTATCCCTTGGGTCCATGTGGCAGGGTTGAGGAAGAGCACCACTTCACCCCTGCCATGTGGACCTCAAGGGACAAACCATCAATCCCGCTCAATGGTCAACTTTCCTCGCGGGGTCAGCCATAAAGACATTGGGAGGGTTAAAAACTACAATTATGGTTAGTATAAGTGTGCAAATATAGGCTATATATTTCACCATTTACATTGTTTTAAAATAGTGTAACGGGTTACAATTTGTTATGGTTAGACTTATGTTGAGGGGGGGTTGGCCGGTTGTGTGGAGAAGTTCGGTTGTTTAGGAAGAGAAAACGAGATAGTTTGAACGGAGATTGTTAACGTTGTTCTTCCTGGATTTAAAGAGCAAGTCATCCCCAAAGCAACTTTTTTTTTGCTGATAAACTATATAAATGAGTGTCTAATCATGCTGTAGACACGTGTAGTCAACAATTTGGCACTTTAGTGCATCTTAGTTCAATTTAAAATATTCTGCCTAAAACTGTCACTGTTGCGCCGTCGTCAGGTAAAAACTCTGCACTGCATTTGATTTAAAATCTGCCATCGCTATTGGCTAAGAGGTACACTATGATGTTAGCTTGTACATTATGATGTCACAATGTCATTGTGAGCCTGTGTGCATATTTGTTGGCAGCTCTGCCCTCTCAATCTGCCAGGCAACTGCATTTGTTGCATTTTTTCAAACAGGAAGTTGGAGTGGAGTAAGACTCTGGTAGGGAGTGACTTGCTCTTTAAGGAGTGGGTTGCTGCCAGCAGGAACTCGGAATAAAGATACGAAACAGGAAGAACAAGTTAGAGTCATTAAAATACATTTAAAAAATCAACAAAATGTGTATTCTATAGGTGTGGCAGCTTTAATTTTGCTGTGGCTGTGCGACACGATCAATTAGTTTAGACTTTTATTTTGACAAACGTAGCAGGGAAACATATTTTGATGCCATTCTGATTGGTTAGTAAGAAGCTACAGTAACCCCCATGAAGGCATTTCAGCCACGTAACATGATTGCTGCAATGTCAATGTGTGTGTGCCTCTTATCCAGAAGCAATAGCTGATTAAAATTCAATGTAGTGAAATTTTAACCTGAAGAGGGAGCAATGATAACATTTTTGGGCTGATTTTTATTTTATTTTTAAAAAGATGTTTTAAAGTCCCAAAATAAAGACTACACACATCTACAGCACCATTAGGTACTCATTTTTATTTTATCAGCAAAAAATAAAGGCTGATCTGCGGATGACTCGCTCTTCAATTTTCATGTTGCGCAATTAAATTAATGTTAGGGCAGACTCTCTTTTTCAAATAATAAACACAAGTCGTTATATTTCATATGCAAGCATTTAATCCATAGCCTGGCAAGCCAGACTAAATACTATATAAATAAATATCAACTTTGCAAAGCAAGAATTTGGTCTAGTTCGCTAGACCATATCATCCAATCATAAAAAGGCTGACACTTGTGGTACTGACATGCTCCACCAGAGGGCAGCAGATACGTTTAACAGTAGGTTTTAGAAGCACATGTTTAAAGGTAAAGCTAGTAGAAACGTAAAAGTAGGCTCATTAAATATACATTTAGTGCTATAGAGTTAAATAAGGACACAGCGTACTTCTATAATTTGTTTTAACTTTGGCTTTATTGTTAAACCAGGAACCTCCATGTGTCTAAAGCTGGCTGTTTCTTTCTGAATGTGAACATGGTCTTTAAAGGCACAAAATCTAATGAAACAAATAATCTTGGTGAACATTTGTAGACGGATTCCCCACAAGAGCCAAAATAAGAGTAACGAAACTCGTAGTTTTGCTTAAATATTGTCCCGTTTCAGCTGTTTCAGCAGCTTTACATGCAGCAAGTGTTGTAAAGAAATCTGAAACCTGCAATAGTCGTTCCTCACAACGACTTAATGGCTTTACAAATGGAGCAGTACTTCCCCTGTGAATGTTGAGATGAACCCCAACTGACTTGATGTGGAAGACTCCTGCCCACAGGTGGTCCAGTTCAGGCCAGTGGTGGTCTGACACACAGGTATGGTCCTCTGAGTCCAGACCCGGTTTCTCCAACATCACTAATCAGGTCTAGGCATCTTGTGGTTCTTTCAACTGTTACGTTATAGAGAACAGAGTATATTCCATGTATTGAGTATATATGCATAGAATACACATGGTGTGTGCTGTAGATTAGACCTGATAACCCATAGGACACGTTATAAAAAACACCCCCAAACACACATGGCTAACCAAAAGTACAACATATTTTATGTTACATCCTTCAAACTCAAACAAAATACACACAATTTACAGTCAAAATGAGTAAAACAGTAGGACCAGAGACCATCCTCGTCTCCATCAGGCTGTAAAAGTCTGTTTCATCAGAAACATCAGCAGCAAAGCCCTGAGAGGAGCTGAATCACCCGGTCAGCAGGCACCCTGATAAAAAGGGATACATGAAAACGACTCCATTTCCCATCATCACTTGCTCTCTGACGTTTCCCAGCTGTGCGGAGGTTTAAGGTGCTTCCAGTCGGCTTCGCTCTCACAGCGCCGGACTCTGCTGAAAAACGTCCGAATGAAAACTTTGGCTTCGGCTTTAACTGCAGAACCAGAGAAGAGGGTTAAGGTGATGCCAGAGGGGTGTTTTACCTAATTATGACATCCAGCTTACCTTGGTCCTTTCCCAGACTACAACGCTCTGCTAGAAGGTGGGACAGGTGGCGAGCAAAGGACTTAAACAGCTCCTGCAAAACAACAAACGATTAGAGTCACATTCTCACTCCAAGGCTTTTCCGGTCCACTCTTTCCTCACTTTAGTGGCAAACTTCCCCCGAGTGTAGAACGGGCCCAGATAACGGACCACGATATCAGCCGCTTCCTTCAGCGTCACCGTTTTCAGAGGCTCACTGACCGGCTGCAGGGACTTCTCCTGCACGTTGGGGTTAAAGGTCAATTTCTGTTTGTTTCCCTCAGCTGGCCGGCTGCGCTTGGCCGCGGGAGACGACTCCTCTGCTTTTATATCATCAGTGACCTGGAAGCATAAAACGTCATCACTGGATATAGAGATCACGTTTAAAGACCAAGTTCACTTCTTTTCCCAACACATCTGCAGTGGTCTCTCTCTGCCTTGTGATTTGAGCTCAGGGGAGAGGGAAAAAAAAAAAGCTCTGGCGCTTCTGTTTAAGAAACTAGAAGGGAGCCAGAGAGAAGGGGAGCAGAATCTGGAGTCTTATTTCCTGATGTCCAGACACCTTGTCTCCGATTGGATAACAGCAACACGACTCTACCACTGACGCCGTTTGCTTTTCAACGTTAATGTTTCATCTCCCCAAATAACACAAGCCTGAAGAGCTCTGCTGTGTGGTAGATTTGCTAATGCTAACGTTAGCATCTGCTAGCTTGCTCTCTCCTGGATGCTAAGCCAACAGCCTTGCAAGTCGCAAGCCAATTTGGACGAGTCCATGAATGTTAATTTACGGTGTGACGTGGATCTGAGGAGCTTTTCTAACCTGAGCGTTTCCTCACCTATCAGCAGGAAATCGGTGTAGAAGACCATTTTCATGTTTAGCCTGCATGCGAAGCTCAAGACAGGGTATCTGCAGGTTTATGGGTGCCGAATTTAAGACTTTTTAAGACCTTTTTTAAGGCCACTTTGACCAAATTTAAGCTATTTTTAAAAATATATTTAAGCTATCATTTCCAGCTATTGCCTGGAACCGGTGCTAACCACGTCGCAAGCGTGGGATCAGCCATCCAGTTACCATTAAACATCCTCATGGTGCAAGCTCCCACTAGCTTAATCAGCTAATGTGCTTATCTAAAAACAGCCCCCTTTCACAACCAACTGAATGTGTACGGTTCCGCTTACGCCAACATCACACACAAAAAACGCTGAACACCAACTAGAAATTCACGAAATTTTTAAAGAAATGAAATAATCGTGTTTATTGGGTCTTTGGTAATTTAAGACCTTTGGAAACTGGATTTAAGGATTATTTGTCATTTTTAAGGATTTTTAAGGCCTTAAATTTGGAAAAGCAAATTTAAGACTTTCTAAGGACCCGCGGATACCCTGCAAGAGTGCCTGATCACATTTAAAAAATAAGTAAAAGCTGTTTCTTTGTGAACCTGCTCTTTAACACCTAAAAAAGTGTGTACCTGTTGGATTAAAGGCGAGTCAGAAAGGTCTTTTTCTTCTTCTGCTGGGCGGTTGGGTCTAAGAGGGAGGAAAAAGTTTTGTTAGGATTCATAAAAAAAACCTTCAAACGAGTTTGGACTAAACCTGGTGAATTACTCTGTAATGAGAGCTGGCTCTGGCTGAACTGTATCCTGAGCCAGCTCTTCCTCCTCCTCCTCATCATCATCAGATACAACTATAACATCAATTTTAGGCTCCAGCAGGATCACATCCTCCGTCTCTGATGTCACAGGGCTGCCCTCGTGCACCTCCTCCTCCTCCTCCATCGTTTGTCCCGCATCACAAACGTGAGTCTGAGGTAACGCATCACCTCCCACCTCCCTGGCTGGTTTTGTGGTGAAGTACTGGGAAATGTTGCGTGAACTCTTGGCAGCTTCCACCAGCTTCTGCTGCTTCTTGCTCCTGGCTCTGGTGGGACTGTGGAGTGAGACATGGGTGGCAGAAGCTGTGGCTCTGATGGTTGATGAAGCAGCTGATGAGTTGATTCTCTCCCTGATATCCCGGACGTCTGATTTCCCAGACTGATTGATGGAAAATCCACAGTTTTCCGTCTGTGTGTGGGGAGCGCAGGAGCCTCTCTGTCCTGCTCCAACTCTTTTTCTTTTCATCTGTGGGAACAACAAATAAAACACGACTCACTTAGTTTGTCCTTTTTCTCCCATTTAAAGGGACATTTCAGCTTTTCTAGGTGTGTTTCAGTGTATAGAGCTCCGGGAGTTGAGTCAATTCTCCCAGCATGCAACAGTTCAAATCGAAGCTGCGCCATCTTGGCAGGCAGAAGGCCGCAGCTGGGCTATTTGTTATTGTCAGAAAACTCAAACGGGAAATATGGTAGATTCCTGTTGTGCCCCAGGATGCAGAACAGACACGGACGCCGCAAACGTTGGATTATCGCAATGAAACGCGCTAGTGACCGGGCTAAAATGAAACTGTGGGATCCAGAGAGTAAAGGTTTTCGCTTACGCAGCGACCACTTCATATCAGGTACTTAAACCAACGTTTCCTCAACTGTGTATGGTATTTATTTTAAATGCTTTTATTACAATTCTTAGTGGGCTTCCTAACTTTATTTTGACGTGGCTTTTTCTGTCTTATTACTCATAGCAACAAGTAAACATCACTTAAAACGTTTCCTCGTGAGTTCTGCGTGCTGCCGTTTACGTGTCTTATGATCACAGCAATTAGCCGGCTAAGTTGTATTTAATTTTGAAGCAATGGTTGATCAAGTGTCAGATCACACATAAAAAGCACTTTGGATTGCCATTATCTGTCTCACCGAGACAGATCTCAGACAGATCCTGAGACGCTCCTGCCTGACATATTTATTTTAATCACGGAAACAAATCAGACTAGTGATTTCTCTTGGTGTTCAGTTTATACATTCAAACAGCACAGCACTCTATTTAAACTTCTTACATGTAAATCTGTTATTTGTCCATCCATCCATTTTCATCCGCTTATCCGGAGTCGGGTTGCGGGGGCAGTAGCCTAAGGCGAGAGGCCCAGACTTCCCTCTCACCAGCCACTTGGGTCAGCTCTTCCGGGTAAATCCCAAGGCGTTCCCTGGCCAGGTCCGGTAAGAAGTCCGCTCCGACAGCTTCTGGCGTTTTTAAAGAGTATCCCAGGGGCACGGTAAGGGTCGGAGAGGTTTAGTCTATTTAATTTCTGACTATATAAAACGATTTCTTTGGTTTTAAAGTGTGAAGTAAACTCCGACGGAGTAAAATCCAAGCCGATCCCGTTCAATTTGTTTACATCTGTTGCCTGCCAACATGGCGTCGACTCTCTGAGAGTCACGTGACGTCCGGAGCTCTATAAGGTATAATTATTACTGTACACCCAGAAAATATTCCCAGCACTGTCTCCTTGTCAAAAATTTTTTCATTTAGTGAAATGGGTTTAATTCATGTTTTACATCCCATAATAACAAACAGAAGGTGACTTTGTGATTTAAAATAAACATGTACTTAAGTTTCCACGCACCACTGAGCTCAGGTGTTTCTACAGCTTGATTTCAGGAAGTAGAAGTTAGAGACGAGCACAAAACTGCAGGATTTGGAGTTTTACTCCTGAAGTATGGACATCTCGTCTCTGATTGGCTAATAGCTTTGTAACATTTATGCTTTATGTCCACAAATAACCAAAGCCTGAAAGAGTTCTGTCATGTTGTGGAGTTGCTAATGCTAACAGTTAGCTTTCATTAGCTAAGTTGTGCTCTCGTCTCTTCCGGACGCCACATCAACGACCACCGTTTCCCGACACGAGCCAAGATGGGTGAGTCCATGAATGCTGCATGCCGACAGCGTGACGTAGATCTGCGTGGCTTTTTCCGACCCGAGCGTTTCCACGTCCGTTATCCCTTTTCAGCTAATGCAGGAAATAAAGGTAGAAGACTTGTTTCACGTTCATCCTGCACCGATCATGTTTAAAAAAAGAACAAGTATTACATAATTCTCTGTGAACTTCAGCTTTAAAAGATACACAACAGCCTCCCTGGAGTTTCCTAAAAAGGCACCACGAGGACTCTCAGACCATGAGAAACCAACTATTCTGGTCTGATGAAACAATGATTTAACATTTTTACCTGAATAACTTGTATCGTATCAGTAAAGCACGGTGGTGGCAGCATCATGATGAAGAATAGTCGGCAGCTGCAGCAATGTGCAGAGACATCTGAATGATAACCTGCTCCTCGAGGCTGGATGTCAGACTGGGATGAATGGTTCATTTTCTAAGCCCAAGCCATCTCAGGGTGGCATCAACACACTTTACTAGCAGTTAGCACATCAACCCTGTATCCACGCATAGCAATCTACCCTGCGTAAAACCATCATTATAAGTTTTGAACAGAAACACGTGGTACTGGGGAGCTTACAGAGTAGATCTGTGAGGCAGACGTGAAGCCCTCAAACTCCTCAGGATATAAACACGAAGACTCCGCCTCTTCTTTGAGCTTTTTCTCATCTCTCGACTCCACCGTGCTGCCTTGTCCTTCTGCTCCTCCAGCTGAATCCGGTGATGCTTTATTAATCTCTGAAATCTTCAAAACACAAACCAGTCCCTCAAACACGTCAAGTTTTATTGTGGTTTTAACCGTGACAGAAACATTTCCAGCTACCTTCTTTAAGACAGCAGCTTTGTACAGGTTGGAAGATTTGCTGTTCCTGAAGATCTCGTGCTCCGTTTCTACGGCCAGCGTCAGGCGTTTGCAGCTGGGAGATGGAGGAGGGGTGGGAGAAGGAGTCACCGAGAGGAGAGGAGAGGGGGCCGTCAGGCTGAAACAGGATGGCTGAAGGGTTTCTCACCTGAAAGCCTCTGCTGCTCCCCGCTGGCCTCGCAGGGCGTCCTGCAGGAGGTGCAGGCAGTGCTCTCGGGTCTGAAATGTGAGTAAAACAAGCCCCTTACGACAAGTTGGAATATCGTGGAGTTCAATTTTTGCACTTTTTCTGCACAAAACCTCACGTTTAAAACAAATGGTCTGTTTTCGTTGTGGTTAATGATCAGAAAGTTTTCCGTTCTCATCTCATGACAAACAGGAGGTCTCGTACCTTCACGGTAAGCCTGGGGATCCTCTGGCTGCTGGCCTCTCTGAGCGGACATTCCACATCTGCACAGCAGGATACTCGTCAGACCTCCTTAAAAAGCATCATGACTCACCCTTTCATCCAGTGACTGCATGAATACCTGGTAGGATGAACTCTTCCGTTTGACCACCAGCACCCTAAAGCAACAGACTCACATTTATTCATTTATTTACACCGCTCTGTCAAAATTAGTGACAGAAAACAGACATCTTCAACGATTCCCACCATCCAGATGTTGTTTTAATCGGTTTCTGTCCTCAGTGATGTTGTTTTTTTGTTTTGTTTTACATTTAGCTTGAAACCTTTTGACCTGCCTCCACCTGGAGCCTCTGAGGAACTGTTTAACTGAAATGTTGTGCCAGTTTCTGACAACATGTGGGAGTAATTTAACAAGAAAAAAAAGAGCACAGAACACACAGGAGGGCCCCACGGAGCCCCAGCCGCTAACAGCTGGAATACAGATGTGCAGAAGACTGATCTGATGAAGCCGTTTTGACAAAACAGATTTAAAGCAGAAATGTGGAGTTTTTTCCTCGGATGGCACCATCTAGAGGTGGAAACATGAATTGCACTTTAAGCTCCTATCCCTACTTTTGTGATTACAGCTGTGCACGCCTCTCGTCATGAACGCACACCTCTAGCCGGCCAATAAGCTAATAAGCATTTTAAAGACAGTCTAGCAGCGTCTGCAAAGTGCAAACACACATGCCCACTTTAAGCGGATGGTAAACGCTATCGGCTGATGCTTAACTCAGTGTAAACTGCATGGGGCTCTACAGGACAGGCTTAGCAGTAAAGTACAGATCAAGACTGTCACTTTATCAGATTTCTAAATAATCATCATAATTCCTGAAAGAGGGAAAACTCCAGATTTCTGCTTTAATCTAACTCATTCATAATAATCTAGCCTGGCAAGCCAGCTCAACGCTCCATTGACAGCTCTCGGTCGGGGGGGCGGGTTCTACCGTTGTCTTTCAAACGATCTCCACGTGCTACGGGACAATGAACAATGTGACGTACTCACTGCAACGGATGTCAGTCAACGAGACGGTCCGCTGTTGAAGGCAAAATACATCCTTTTTTCTAAAAAAATAAAACCTTAAATACTGACGTTTATAAAACCAAAGTCCAAATATTCAAACATTGATTTAAAAGCCATTTCAAACGAGCTGTCGGCATTTTGTTCCACTCTGTTGCTTCATCCCATCAACCAGAAGAATAGAGGGCCCTCAAAGCGGATAAAGCCCTGTGATTGGTTCACAAAACAGATAGAGCGCTATGATTGCCCCCCCCCCCCCCTTATGGACCAATCACAGCTCTCTATGGGTTTGAACCTCCTCTAGAGAGCTGTGAATGGCCAGCCAGAATGTTGCTAGGGGCTGCAGAGGTTCCGATGGAGCGTATATACCAAACTTTGCAAAGCAAGAATTAGGTCTAGTTCATTAGGCTAATAATAATAATCTTCATTTAGATGAAAATGACAGAAGACGAGTCCGTTCCTTTGCACCACCTTCCGTATGTTCATCTGCTTCTTAAAGAGATCAGAAAACTCCTTTTTCCTCTTCTTGACTTCGTCATCACCACTTCCTCCTTCCCCTTCATCGTGCCTGCAGTGATAACCCACAACATCACACAGAGTCGATACCATCAGTGTGAGGATCAAATGTGTCCACAATGACCCGTCCTGCCTTTCAAAGCCATATCCCGTCTTCCCTCCTTCGTACAAGTCCGGCTGGAACCCGAACGGCCCTTTGGGCTTGTTGATCTGAGCGGCTTTGGCCTGGGCGCCGAGCGCGGCCGCCCTATCTCGCTGGGCTCGGACGGCTTTGGGGTCACGGCAAAAGTCGCAGGCACCCGCGCAGTTTGGCGTCTTGTCCCCGAAAAAGGTGGAGATGGTGGCATGGCGACACCTGATGGGAGGAGAGATTACCAACACCTGAAACAAGCTCTGGGATTAAAAAAGTGATTATTTGGACATCTTAAAGGTTAGAGTGAACTAGCGGAACACAAAACTCAGACTGTGATTGCAACGACTCACACGACGACTCGCTCAACCATCAGTCAAAACACCAGTCAGTCAGGTAAGTCCAACTTCCCGTGACCCGTTTAAACTCCGATAGATGTTTCTATGTTGACATTCACCTGAGCCAAAAAGAGGTGGGTTTACTCACCGATTTCTCCAGTCCCGCTGTTGGTAACTGGGGTAAAATTGGCAATGGGGTAAAAATTACTTAGTTTCTTTCCGGAGTATTTCTCTTACCCGATGGCACCATCTAGTGGCTGACAAGCACATCACACCAATTTTCTCTAGGACTCTTTTTTTAAGATGGCGACTTCACGTTTCTAGTTTATAAATGTATTTTTGTGGCTGATAAACAGAGTTAAGCACGTTGTTTTACAAGTATTACTCTCATGTCATGCTGTGTTTTCACATATTTATATTTTAAAGTCTTACTTGTCTGTGAAAAGTTCAACTCTGCATCAGCCGATGCACTTCCTTAAATTTGAAGAATCTAAGCGGTAGTTTAACGCTATTGGTTTGTTCTGGTCGGTTCTCCGTTTCCTACTGGACGGAGCTTTCTACCTGAACCAATCCTCATGTTACCCTCTGATCTCTATTAAGGTAGCGAGAATCGGGTTGCAAATGACCACAGTCACCAATTCTTGTCATGTGTCTTGCCCATGTATGTCTGATCTCTGAATTGTGTGTACTGAAACTCTAATTTCCCTCTGGGATTAATAAAGTATTGATTGATTGATTGAGCTGTGTGGGGCAGGAGGCATGCTTAGACGTATTACCTACATTATATCGCAGTACATGATGAGACAATCACTTTTACGGATTTCTGAAAAACCATCCATAATTTCTGAAAGGGGAAAACTCCAGAAAGCTACTTTAAGTAAAAGATTGGGTATCCAAGACATTTCTGATTTAAGTAAAACGTTTTAAAAGTATTCATTTTACTTGCACAGTAAAAGTATTTAGATATTTAAATGTGTGAGCATGTGTGTGTAGAAGTGTGTCAGAAAAAGGGGGGAGGGGGTCAAATGCAAATTAAAGTACTAATATCTTTGGACTAGGGAGGGCGCTGCTGGTCTCCATCAGATCGGGGGTGGGGGTCAGACAAAACACAAACTGAAGTACTTTTACTTTCGAGAAAAACTAGGAGTAGAAAGTAAAATGTAGGCCCCAAGAAAATTACTTAAGTACAGATACATATAGAAGAATACACTAAAGTAACTATATAGCGCCTTGGGCACCAAGTAGAGGGTTGTGGGAGGCGCTTTATAAATGAAGCCTTGATTGATGTAATTTACTAATACTAATATGTTAGTGGAGTTGTCGTGCCGAGACCAACAGTCAGCACGTTAATCCTGAATAAACATGCTATGACCTATTTTTGTTTTGGGACGTAAAACTGAACAAAAACCACAACATGGTTGCCATTTTCCCCCTGCAGCCACTCAGACCACCAAGTTCATCCCTGATCTATAACCTGTTGTGTAACCATCACACGCCGTCAGGGTCGGTGGTTCTGTTATGAAATAAAAACCAGATTGTCTTTGGAAAATAAAAATCAAAGAATCGTTCCATTCAGCTAGAAATGCCAACACGAGGAATCAATTACAGAAAATCAGATCCACACTTGGAAAGACTGTTAGATACTTTTGTCTTCTATATTTCACTATTCTTAAAAATTAACTTGTTTCCTAATGAAAACTCCCCTTTAAGTCTGATTTTATCAGTTTTTTCCATATGAAAAAGTCAGAGGCAGCGTTATGTAACGTTCACACGTTCCCACGAGCGTAGAGCCGGACTGGGAGGCGGTCATATCGACAACATCCTAACTATCACGCTCAAACGCCGCCACTTTCTTCTGTGTGAAACAGAGAAGCCTCGGAGGAGGAGGAGGAGGAGGTGGTGGAAAACACTGAAGCAAGAGTCACTCCCAAACAGGACAGACATAAAGAAACCAGCTTCAGAGGGAGGAAGACAAACGCAGTGTTTGTTCTGCTCCACAATCATCAGTCTAGAAAACTCATCTTTAATCTCAACCTGTGTGATAATCTGCATCCCGTAATCTCTTCTGGATGACAAACTCAACAGGATTTCCTAATCTGGACTAGACTTGGTGAAATCTCTCACAGGTGAGTGACATTTAGTGTTTGAGTGCAAACAGCCAGAAAGGCACCACGGCTACAGCTGGGGAGGAATCAGAACATCGTGTTTTTTTTTTGTTGTTCATAAAAAATTTTTAAAAGTGCAAAAAAATCAACTAAAAATCCACCCAAAATGGGAAAAGTAGCAGAAACATCTGGAAAGTGTTGGAAACTTCTTGCTTTTTAGGAATTTGTTGCATTTCTTCTTTTAAACTAGAATACATTTTTCACGGTCACATGCAAAACTTCCATAATAAAATGTTGTGGATAATCTGTAATCTTTAGTAGAGCTGGATTAGCTCCATGATGTGCATTTGTCAATAAATGTGACATAATTTTAACTCTTTAAGGGTCACAAGAAAACAAGAGCTTTCGCATTATTTCGGGCAATTTGGGTTGTAATGTAACAATAATATTAAGGTAATGATGTAAATTATTAATGATTAACCTTTACTTAGCATAGCTCCGTGGTTTTAGGATGTTTGAAGGTTGTTGTTAGAGTTAGGTGGATGCATGTGTACTAAAACGAAACACTGTTAAAGAAGTAAAGCGTTTGAATTCCTCTCTCGTACTTGATTAAATTATCTGTGCTCCAAAGCGGAGGAACAATCCTGACGACCTCCAGAAGTCAATCAGAATGAAGATTAGGGGTGAAGCCGTGTTAAACCACTCATGTGAGTCTCAGATTCCAGCGATAATCCTGCTTTTGATGACATTTTGGTGCCTCGTGTTGTTTTGGGCGAGGTCCAGGACTTCAGGCTGGTGGGTAACGTGACTCACTGGCAGCTAATTAAAGCTAAAACCGGTTTCAGCTCACCGTTTGTAGATGGCTCTTTGAACAGCCTCACTTTGGAGAAAGAGAAATTAGTTCTCACCTGATTGACAAGCTAGCAGCTAGCATGAGTGATTGACCATCTTAAAACAAGTTTTAGCTAAGAAAAGTCAGCAGTGAAAGCATTCCACGCAGCTGGTCCTGCAAGATTATAAAATGGACGGAGAATCGCAAAACCACGCGTGATTTCAGGAGTTCCCGCGATGAAAGATAAATGACCCGCGCTTGTAGAGCGCTTTTCAGAGTCAGAGGACTCCAAAGCAGACCCGGCCCACGAGCCTCCTCTTTCTGGGCCCTGAACCGGACCTTTCAGTTGGACCGTTCACCGAGTTGGAATATTCTAGGAGGACCACTACATGACTTGTATCACTGGTTCGGTCATCTCGCTGAACTTCTTCAAACAGCACCGCATAAAAACTAGACTTGAAGCGCCAGAAACACGTCCCTACGCTTCTGGTGAATGGTAAATGGCCTCCTAGAGTTCTACAACCCCCAAAGGCACCTTACAACACTACCTGTCAGTCATCCATGCACACACACACACACACACACACACACACACACACACACACACACACACACACACACACACACACACACACACACACACACACACACACACACACACACACACACACACACACACAGGTGGTAGTGAGCTAAAAGGTAGCCACAGCTTCTCTGGGGCTCACCGACAGAAGCGAGGCTGCTGAGCACTGGTGCCACCATTCTCTCCGACCGCCACCATCAGGTAAGGCGGGGTAAATGTCTGCCCAAGGACACGACTGTGACAGATGGGGTTTGAACTTGCAACCCCCGGTTCTGAGGCAAGCACTTAACTCCTCTGCCTTTGCCCTTGAGGCTAACAACAACAATAACAACAACAACAATAACAACAATCAATTTCCAGTCAGTCGTAGGTGGCAGTGAGGCAGCATGATGAATCATGGAGAGGAGGGAACAAGGAGTGGACTGTAGAGAGGTGGATGGGTGCTAGTTTAGAAGATGCTCTCTGAAGAGCAGGGTCTTCAGGTTTCTTGAAAATTTATAAGGAAGCCCCTGTTCTTGTAGTGCTTGGTAGGTCATTCCACATTTGTGGAACGATGCATGAGAAGAGTCTGGATTGTCCTGAGTGTGGTGTAGGCACTGCTAGCCAACGATCCTGTGATGACCGGAGTGGCCGGGCTCAGACGTAAGCCTTTGCAAGAGGATTCAGGTAGATGGGAGCAGCACCATCTCGGACTTTGTATGCTAGTGTTAGCAATTTGAATTTGATGCGTGCTGCAAGCGGTAGCCAGTGGAGCTCAATGAACAGAGGAGTGACGTGTGCTCTTTTTGGCTGATTGAAGACCAGATGCGCCGCTGCGTCCTTGACCATTTGAAGAGGTCTCACAGTACAGGCTGGAAGACCAGTTAGAAGGGCGTTGCAGTAATCAAGGCGGGAGACGACAGTAGATTGCACCAGGAGCTGGGTGACTTGTTGTGTTAGGTATGGTCTAATCTTTCGTATGTTATACAGCGTAAAGCGGCATGAACGAGCAACAGAGGCAACATGATCTTTAAAGGTCAGGTGTTCATCAATCACAACACCTAGATTTCGAACTGCCTTTGATGGAGCCAGAGATAGGAAGTCAGTTTGGATTGAGATATTGTGCTGTATGGATGGTTTTGCTGGGATGACAAGTAGTTCAGTTTTAGAGGTTGAGTTGGAGATGGTGGGATTTCATCCATTTTGATATGTCAGAGAGGCAGATTGATATTCGTGCAGAGACAGTGTGGTCGTCCGATGGAAATGACATATAGAGCTGGGTGTCGTCTGCATAGCAGTGGTAGGAGAAGCCATGTGATCGAATGATCTCACCCAGAGAAGGTGGGTCCTAGTACAGAGCCCTGGGGGACTCCTGTGGCAAGATGGTGCATGGTAGAGGATTGTCCAAGCCAAGATACACTGAATGGCGGTTCTGTGAGGTACGATTCAAACAAGGCGTGTGCTTTCTCTGTGATGCCCATGCTAGAGAGTGTGGACAAAAGGAAGTAGTGATTGACAGTGTCGAATGCAGCCAATAAGTCAAGCAGGATAAGCACTAAGGATTTGGCAGTCGCTCTAGCTTCTTTTAAGGATTCTGTCACTGCTAACAGAGCAGTTTCAGTGGAGTGGCCCTTTTTGAACCCAGACTGGTAAGGGTCAAGCAGACAGTTTTGTGAGAGGTATTCTGTGATCTGCTTGAAAGCCACCCTTTCAATGATTTTGAACAGCAAAGGGAGGAGAGAAATAGGTCAGTGGTTCTCCACATGATTTGGAGGAAGAGATGGGTTTTTTAGCAGCGGTTTAACCTGAGCATGCTTGAGAAAGGTGGGAAATGTACCGGATGTCAGTGAAGCGTTGATCACATGTGTGACTGCTGCGGCTACTGTAGGAGCAATAGCTTGGAGCAGCTTAGTCGGAATGGGGTCGAGTGGGCATGTAGTAGGGCGGCTGCACGTGAGAAGCTTGGACACACAGTTCTCAGTGAGAGGGGAAAAAGAGGAAAATGAAGCAGTAGGGCTTGAGATGGTTGGGCTAGAAGGAGTTTGTGGTAGCGAATGTTCAGGAGTAGCCAGTTGAGAAAACTGTTTGCTTATAGCTGCCATTTGTCAGTGAAGAATGAGGCAAAGGTGTCAGCTGATAGATTGTTGGTAGGAGGTAGAGATGGAGGGTTGAGCAGAGTTTTGAATGTCGAAAATAGTTTCTGAGTCAGTGGAGCTGAGAAATTTGGTCAGTGTAGAAAGCTTTCTTTGCATCAGTGATGCTGGCAGAGAATGAGGGCAGTAATTCATGAAATTTCAATAGATCACCAGGATCTTGTTTTGCGCCATTTCCATTCCACAGCTCTAAGATTGGTGCGTAGAGACCGGAGCGTATCATTTAGCCAAGGGTGCGACTGAGAGGATCTAGCAGGTCTAGTGGCTAAAGGGCACAAGTTGCTAAGACAAGAGCAGAGTGTGGAGCAGAGTGACTCGGTGGCATCATTCACTTCATAAGCAGAGAATGAGCTGGGAGATGGAAGAGTGGAGGCAACAAGAGAAGAGAAGTGGTTGGGTGCCAGATTGTGGAGGTTGTGGCTGAATGAGGCCATTGGGGAAGAAGCAGTGGACCTCCCTTGTAGAGTTGTGCTGAAATGGATGAAGTAATGATTGGAAAGATGCAGTGGTGTGACAGAGATTGTGTCTATGGCACAGTTTCTGGTGAAAATGAGGTCAAGTGCTTATCCAGCTTCGTGAGTTGGAGGACTTTGTACTAGTTTTAGATCAAATGATGACATTATTGACAGGAAGCCTGATGAGCTGGGATTGTCCAGGTGAATATTCATGTCTCCAAGGACCATTGTGGGACAGTCGTGCTCAGGAATGGACTTGAAACATTTTAACTGGTCCCACTTTAGCTCACCTGTTTTAATTGGAATTATCTTTATTTCTTCAAACAACACCTAAGATATTTAATAACTTTTAATAGAAACTCATTTGGATCGAAGAGCTTGGTCTACTGTGACTAGCCATTAGCTCATCTATCTAATCAAAACTATGTTGTTTCTCAGAGCTGAGGTTGTTCAAAGATAACAAGTGAGACTGTCTTTGATCAGGATCTTTCTACAGAAACCCAATTCAGAACACCTGGGCTGTTTCACCGCCACGATTCAGGAGTGTTTGTATTATTCTCCAACAGGTAACTCCCTCAAGTCCAGAAACCTCACAGTGCCACACCCGTCCAGTATCCAATCAGCAGCAAAACATGTGTAACCTGATACACGCACGCACGCACGCACACACGCACACACACACACACACACACACACACACACACACACACACACACACACACACACACACACACACACACACACACACACACACACACACACACACACACACACACACACACACACACACACACACACACACACACACACACACACACACACACACACACACACACACACACACACACACACACACACACACACACATTTCAGTTAAACGGACCTAACGAGGGTTTAGCCTGGCTGATCGTCTGTATCGTTTCACTGGCGAACACATTCCCTCCTATAAACCACTCGCTCACTAACAGGCAGTAAAACTCTTGGCGTTCCTTCGGCTCGCCGTCGTCTTCCTACGGGTTGAGAAACAACCAACCGCACCGTAGAAGAACAGCTGGAAGCAATCTGCTTTCACCCAGAGGGTTCGTTTTAATAAGACCGTCACCTAGATGACTTTAACCAGGTTTAACGTGTGTTTATAACACCTCGATTATAACCTTTCCACTTCCTGTCCCCCTCCTCCAGAATGGATGCCAGAGAGGAGACGCTAAGCCTCCTGAGCAAAGTTTGGCTCAAGTTGCAGAGTCTGTCCAGCGCCCACCCGGTGGAGCTGGGAGCCTTCTTCGTCCTCCTCATCTTCATCCGTGAGTCTTCATCACATCTTCCGTTGCTCAAAGGCTGAGCTGTTCGTGAAAATGTTTATTTCCTCTCCAACAGTCACTGTCCTGCTCATGGCGGTTGTGACCTGTGTGACCTGCTGCGGCTGCTGCCGCTGCTGCTGCTGCAAGGCCAAGCAAAGGCGGCGCTGACGTTTAAGCTTGGCACATTTTTAAAACCCAAATCTCAAGAATCCTACTTTTGTGGGAACATAAATCAAACAGGGTGTGCTCTGAAGAGGCCTGGCTGCTCAACAGCAAAGCAAACAGGCAGGTGTGTGTGCAGACAGGCTGCCAAACACACCTGCTGAAGCTGCCAGCTTTTCCAGAGGATCGGCATTCCTCGGAGCATCCCTGCAGCTTACGGCGCTGCGACAGCCTGGGGAGAAGGCGGGGCCTAGCCCAACTGTCTGATATACACCTAGACAGGATATGACATGTAATTCAACAAACTGGAGACCTTCTAAATGCTATAAACACATAGAACGTATGTATTTGTGAGGTAGAATCCCCTTAGAGGGGATGCAAAACCTGGATGAACAAAGAAAAAGGGTGCAAGTCTGCCCTCTGCTGGACATTTGTTGTAAAAATGAAAATAAAAATGAGATTTTACCCGAAACTGGCTGTTACAAAAGTTTGAATGTTGTGTGTAACTAATTTGGCTGAACCAAATCACCCTCTTACCGGTCTTGCTCACAATACAACACCATGGCCTCAAAGTCTGCAATGGCTGCTTTGTCCGTCTCCTTTGCAGAACCTCGTTTTTCCTGCAGGAATGGTAAAGAAAACATCACAAAGTTCTGTAGTAACACAGCTCTGTCCAGCAGCTGGTAGTCCCACCTGACGGCGATGGACTTCCTGGCGGATGAGGAACAGAATTTGCTCTTTGTCTTTAGGGGAGTAGTAAGTTCGACACAAAGAGGGGAGGCCATCCCGGCCCGCGCGTCCAGACTCCTGGTAGTAGCTGGCCAGAGACTTGGCTATGTTCCAGTGAGCTACAAATCTGAAGGAGCAAATTAAGTCATGTGTACATCCAAATCTAAATAATAATGTGAAAAAGCAGAAAGCCAAAAAATCTGTTGTTTTACCTGACGTTAGCTTTATCCACTCCCATCCCAAAGCTGATGGTAGCAACAATAACCAGAACGTTCCCCTGCATCCAGTCATTCTGCACATCGGTACGATCCACTGCCTTCATTCCTGCAAAACCCAGAAAACTTAACACCTGAAACTCGCACGCACACACACACACGCACACACACTTCAAAAGTCTTACCTGCGTGATACGATTTGGCTAGCACCCCGAGCTTAGTCAGCTGGTAAGCGACAGTGTCACAGTCGTTTCTGGTTCGACAGTAAACAATCCCACAGCCCTGCTCACAAACATCAGAGACAAACAAAAACACAAGAGTAAAAAAATATCCAAGAGGGTCGGAGCTGGCTGGGATCTTCAGCAGGAAGTCACCGATGCCTTCATCACTTAGAATGGGAACATTTTTAATCCTCAGCGCAGGTTTACTGTACCTCCATAAAAACTGAATTTAGGGAGATTTTAGGGTGAAAATCTGCTAAAGTTTAGTATCGGTACTAATGAAATATTTATTTTTTCTGTTGCTTTTTAAAAATTTGGTAAAATTTTGAGTAAATCTCGGATGTTTTTATATTGATTCACATATTTATGTAACAAATATAAACATTTGGTTATTTTCCTTCTTAGAAAAACACAAAAGTCCCCTAAAACCTACAACTTCATTCAGTTTGTGAATTTTATTCCCATAAATTTCCACCAACACAGAGATAATCAGGATATTATCCATGTTAATTTAAAAACTTTTCTTTCTGGCTGCTATGTGACATTAAAGAAGTTTTAAACATTCTCATGCGTGCTCACTGTTTCAGGTGATTCAATGTTTAGGAGTTTTAGGTTGAGAGCATCTCGTATTTAATGCTGCATCCCCTTTAAAAAGGCAGCATTTCTAGAAAACCAACGTCTAGAATGGCTTTGTTCTACCAACCTGTCCATTAGAGCCACTCCCCATGGCCAGAGCCTTCTGGATAAAGCCCTGGAGGTGGACGTAAGCGTTTGGCAGCAGTTCCTTGAAGATCACATCATAATGCAAATTACTACGAAAGACAGGTGTAAGGAAAGACAGAGGCAAGCGCAGCTTCAAGGACTGAACAATGTCTTCTTGGACGTGTTTGGCTGCTGTTGCAGTCAGAGCCAAACAGGGAACTCCTTGTAAGGAGGCCCGCAGGTCTCCCAGTTTCAGATAGTCTGGTCTAAAATCATGGCCCCACTGGGAGACGCAGTGGGCCTCATCCACGGCCAGGTAGGACAGCATACCGCGAGAACACAAGCTCTTGAGGCTGGACTGGAAGGAGGGAGACGCCACCATCTCTGGGGTGACGTAGAGAAGCTTCAGCTTTGGGCTGCTGCTCCCCAGGTCGGCCATGATCAGATGGCGCTCCCGTGCAGGGAGCTTGGAGTTGATGGAACATGCGGGGATGTTACGAGCCTTCAGGTGACTCACTTGGTCCTGAATGAAATAAATAAAATACACAGACAGGGTTGATTCAAGAGTGAGAATGGACACCTACAAAGTGTTACACCTTTTTAACCTCAGACTTCCTTTTAAAAACCGGACGAGTGGTACAGCGGTTGAGCCATCTCAGTTTTTATGATGTCAAAATGATTTCATGAGTACGGAGGTGAATTAAGTTCCTCTTGCTGAAATATGACCATGCTCTCTACAGCATTAGTGAAGAAGGCTCAAGGTAAGAGCACCCACGAAAGTCTAGGATCAACGTCTAAAGTTCCTCAAGGTGAGGGATCAAGGCTCCACCAGTGTGGAGATGGTTCAGGACTGCTGAGGACCAGACCTGAATTTTATTGTAAACATGTGGCTTAAAAATGGGTGGGCAAATAAAACCTCACAAATTCTTACAGCCTCCAGTCGTTGATTATGTAGAATGGGCTTCTGTCGGTCAGAATTTGGACTAAAAGTTCACTGGCAGCTGACACTGACAAGACTGAGAAAAAAAAAAACCATCAGCTCACATCCAGCCAACAGGCCTTCTATAAACATCTGCTCCCCGAGCCCACTCACGGTCCACTTCCACAGCTCCTTAAATGAATGCAATGCCCTCAAAACATCTAAAGTGATTCTAATTAGGGTTAGGGTTACGTCAGGGTATGGTAAAACAAAACAATAACAAGAGGATCAATGAAGCACAAGCATAGCCGAAGCAATCCTCACCATAGATGTGCAATCACATGTACAAGTTCAGAGATGGAGGAATTTTCAGACAACTAAAAGATCAAACCCATTTATTTATTTTAAAAGCTTATACACTTGACTCAAGACAGTGATTTACAACCAAAACAATCCAATTACAGCTGCAGCATTACGAATGTAATCAACTTAAGGGTTTGCAGCGCCATTACGAATCTGTCATGAGGTGTTTTTGTTGGGGTGGTGGTTCTGAATGAGACTGACCTGGATGAGAGCGATAAGCGGGGATATAACCAGAGTAATGCCTCCAGCTAGCACTGCGGGTAGCTGGTAGCACAGAGACTTCCCCGCTCCCGTGGGCATACACACAAACACATCCCTGTCACCTGCAAACACAAAACTAGATTCAACACTCTTTCAAGCAATCACGGCAACCCTGGTTAAGCAGAGTTCCTTCAACGGTCTGCTCTTTAGATGCTAACAACTTCCGTTAGCATAAAAACAGCGAGCAGACTGACATATTCGCGGCTTACCTCTGATGACAGCTTTGACAACATCTTCCTGTAGTTTAGACCTGAAGCTGTCGAAGCCAAAGTGGGATTTTAAAGCTTCTTTTAAACTTTTTGTCATCGCGCGTTTGGGGGGTTCTTCTCATCGTCGCACACCTATTGCGTCATCCAGACCGCCCCGAAAAAATAGGAAGTAGAAGAGCCTTAAAAGTTCAAGAGGTCCTACTCCAAGGCTGTGTCCGAATCCAGAGGAAGGATGCTCGTAAGAGCGCATTTTGAGGTCGATGACGTCAAAGCGCAGCGACGAGTACTGTCCGAATTCCAAGAATCCTCATTCTTGCGTCCTCAAACACGTCCTCGCTCCACCCACATTTCGAGGATGGGTCTGATGGATCCTCTCAGGAGCAAGGGTATCCCAGCATGCTTTGCGCGCCGGCCGATGGACTGGACACTCGCAACAACGGCGGACGGAGCGGGACAGCAGTACAGCTTAAAATGTAAGTTAGTTAAAAAAAATAGCGGTCAAAAAATAAAATACGTGTTTGGGCACTTTTGGTTTGTTTTTTTATATAAGATCTAATACCGCAAATTGTTTTTTTCTTGTAATTTAAGGCTAAAACATGCCCCACCGAAAACCAGCTTGAATGTTTAATAGGAATAAACCCACCGTAAACTAGCTTGATCCCAGCAGGCTTTTTAAAAGAAAATAGCGGTAGAAAACTAATCTGAAAGCGGTTCTGTTTATAGACATTTTTCGTTTGTATAAGTACATTTTAAGCAGAAATCAGCGAGAACGAGCTTGTATGGTGGTCCCGTCATTATTCCCGTGTGTGTGTTTATTTAGCGAATAAAGCTTCTCATCATTTGTTTTAAGGTTAACACCCCACCGTAAACTTGCTTGAAAGTCTAATAGGAAAAAACTCACCGTAAAAGACCTTGCATCTTATGTAATCATGTAACGAACGCCAAAAATAACGAAAACTAAGTTTAATGTTTATTTAAGTTAATTTTTAAGAAACCACATTACTGATTTAATGTTTTTAATTTCATTTTAGGCGGAAAAAAAACACAGAACACAATTTTCATCTCCCATGTTGATAAATTAAAATATTGTTTATTGCATGTTTTATCAACTATGATTTATAATCTGACTTTGTTCTTCTATTCCTCTCTATTCTCATCCAGAACCAGTACCTTTAAGGAGCATCTGTAATTTCACTATGCCCAGTGTTCTCTGTTGTTAAATGACAATAAAGCCTTGTAATTCTAATGCCCTTTGTCTGTAGGACTGCAAGTATACAGGGTCAGGAGAGGGAGTTAGCGGAAAGCCCACTGCTGAAACCTGGCCCTGGTTTGTCCCCATGGACGAGGTGTTGGGACAGAGGCCTTCAACTATGCATCCTGTCCTTATTGCTTCCATTCCCGAGGACACTCCAGGGCCAAGTGCAGCAGTGGGTGAGACAGAGGACAGGTAGAGTGGTGGAAGGAAGCTGGACTCCTCATCAGGGAGAAAAAGGAGAAGGGCTGATGAGCTCCTTGACCTGATCAGGGAGGACATGAGACAACAGAGGGAAGCGGAGGAGAGGAGAGAAAGAAGGATGGACAGATTTTTAGCATTGATGGAAAGGATGGCAGAGAAATGTTTTTTTTTCTTTTAGTTTCTTCTGGTTCAGGTTCTATATATGTGTTTGAATGTTTTTGTTATTTGTTTTAATGTAATAAAATTTCTATTATTTGATAACTCTTTTTTGACCATTAACAGTTTTATTATTCAGTTTTTAACAAGTAACAACATTGTAAGGGAACACTGTAAGGAATAAAAGTAAAATATATACAGTAAACTTGGAAAGCAGGGAGTCTTTGGTGGTGTTGCTAAATCTAAACATGGATCGAGGTGAATGGAGTGCAGGAACCGAGATCTGTGGCTGAACGTTTCTGGTTGGCAAGTGGAACATCAGACTGAGTGGTCTGCAGAGGGTGCTTCTGGATGCCTCATCTCACTGACCACTGCATCGTCCATCAAAAGGGTTTGCTGGGCTGGCTCAATCGATGGCTGTCACATCACTAACATTCAGATATATGCAAAAAAAGGAGATCATGAGTATAATACTTGTAACTCTAGCAGATAACAGGACTAAATGATTTTTAAACTTTAAATACAAAGGCCGGTGACGTTTACTGAGCCGTCGCAGCTCCTCAAAAACCACAAATAAAATGAAATATTGCTGTGGATCCATTTTCAACGTCGCTACTAGCTTGTTAGCCTGTTTGCCGCCGTCACGGTAGCTAGGCAGCCTGACCTGGGGGAGGGAATAAAAACGAGGCTAGTACTGTCCGAATTCAGAGCCGCTGACTTCCGGTTTTAGCGGTCTTGCAAGGACCCGGCCCTGCTAGACCGGCGAGGACCCGTACTCACAAGCATCCTACTTCTGGATTCGGACACAGCCTAAAAGTTCCTTAAAATAAATGTGAATTAATGGCCATTTATGATCATCCTCAAACAACTCTGCATGGCATACCTGTTAAAGATCAAGTCAAGTATTTGGGGATTACAATCTAAAAAAACTTAGAAACGAGAGTAAAATGTAATTTTGAGAGCTTAATTAAAAAGAGTAAAAGTATTTTAAACATATGGCTACAAAGAGATCTCTCAATTTTTGGTAGATTACTTCTATCCAAGATGGAAGGATTGTCAAGAATTATCTATCCGGCTTATTCTCCAAGAATTCCTCAAAATATTATTAAAGAATTTAACCAAAACAATTTTAACTTCATATGGAAAAACAGACATCATTACATAAGAAGGAATGACACCATCAAATCAATAGAGGAAGGGGTCTCAATGCAATCGATTTCGATATAATGAATGGTGCACTTAAGTTAAAATGGCTCCAAAATTTTATAAAGAATATAAATATGTTGTGGTTTAATCTTCCTGCTAAAATTTTCTCCAGTGTAGGCGGAATCCAATTGCTTCTTCAATGTGACTTTGAATTATCCAAACTCCCTATTAAGTTATCCAAATTTCATGAGCAAGTTCTACAATATTGGAAATTAATAAGCATCACTTCACACCGCACAACACGCCAATATGGAACAACCGTTATATCCTGATTAAAAGGAAATCTTTTTTTTAATGATTGGCATCTCCATGGAGTATGGTCCATTTTGCATTTGATGGACCAGAATGGAGAGTTTCTTAATTTTACGGTTTTCAATCACAAATTTAACCTAACTTGTTCTTCTAAGCAATATGCCGAGGTAATCAAGGCAATCCCACCAGCTATATATGCTCAGTTGAAAGGCACTTTGTTGTACTCTCACCTTATTCCAAAAACGCCTCCTTTAACAATTAAGAACTGTTCTTTTGTGGACAGGAACTGCAATAATAAAATCCTTAGATGTTGGCTCACTGACGCCCTCTTTCCCTTACCTCTTAGAAGACGGGAAATAGTACGTCAATTTAGTAATTCTGATGTTAAAAACATTAGATGCAACTATCTCAAATTCCCAATCCCTCCTAAAGCCAAGGAAGTTCATTTTAAAACTATAAACAGTATTTATCCTTGCAAAGATTTCTTGCAGTCTAAATTTAATATTGGAGAGAACGATTGTGCCTTTTGCACTTCTAATATATTGATTGATTGATTGATTGATAATATAGAAACTGAGATACATTTATTTTTCACGTGCATCTTTACCAAAATTTTCTGGGATAGTTTTCACTCGTGGTTAACGCATAATAATTTCATTATACGCTCCTTATCTTTTTCTGACATCAAGTATGGTATTAGTTTGGAAAATAAAATGCAGCAATTCACTGTCAATAATTTGATTATTTTTGCCAAATTCTTTATACATAAATGCAAATTTGGCAATATCAAACCGATCTTTATTGTTTTTTCGAAAGAACTTGCATCCTTTATGGATTCTCTTAAATTATATATTTCCAAGAAAGCCATTTGGCTCTATAACAATTTGGTGAATGTTTCCTTTACCCCTAATAATGTTGTTTGATGTAATATATCAGAGGTGGAAAGAGTACTAAAATGTTGTACTTAAGTACAAGTATGATTACTTTCATGAAATTTTACTCAATTACAAGTAAAATTACCTGCCTCAAAATGTACTCAAGTAAAAGTAAAAAGTAGCTTATTTCAAATGTAGTCAGAGTAAAAGTTACATAGTTACTTTTTTGACTGTGCAAGGACGGTCTCTTCTGAATAGTTAAAAAAAAGACAATGGGGTATAAATGTCAAAGTGGCCGTTTTTTTAATTAAATGAACAAATATGCATATTGAAGTACAAAGGCAGTTACACTGCAAACTAGTAACATAAATTAGGTTATAGTCACAAGCCCATGACTTTTCCGTGAATCCTTATTTAGAGCAGCTGATTTTTAAAGTTAGCAGAGGTCATCTTTGGTAGTGGGTTCACTCACTCATTCAAAGATATCGGCCAGTGGAAAAATTGGTTTGAACAGCATGTGTAAATGTGTATTAAAATCTCAGATGAAAAAGGTTTTTGGATTTTGACGGCTGGAATTGTAAGAAAATCTGATGTTTGTGACCGGCGCAGGAAAAACAGAAACTAACTTCCGGTCTAAGCCCTGGGCAGCAGTTGACGTTTCACATGGAGCTCTGTTGAAACAGCTGTAGTAAACGCCTGGCTCCGCTGTTTCTGCGTTAGCGTTATAGCAGAGAACAATGTGTCATCAGTCAGATGTAGCTTCTGAAGCCTCTACTAGTCTGTCAGATTTGTTTTTTCTCTGGGATACGGCGACGAGAACGGATGTTAGATTACTGGAGAAGTTCAACCGAACTCCGACCCCGCCAGCTGGATATCACTACCAGAGGTGCAGACATGTTTTAGACCGTTTGACTCAGAAGACCTGCGACCTGATTTGGACATAGAGGAGGATTCTGTTCATCTTCAGAACCAAAATCGGTACAGTTTGTTTACTTTTTTTAAATATTTCATTTCTGTGCTCCACTGGGAGCTCTAAGCTGACAAGTTTTCAGCTGGTCTTAGCTCCATCATGTGTCCCAATATAGTTCAGTAATCTACAGTTTTACTGCTGTGTGTATTTATTGACATAACTCTGGAAAATATTTAACCAACAATTTACCAGAATAAATCTTCCTGATGCTGGAGTAACTCCTTAGCTCAACTCGTTGTTTGCACTAATCCAGGATGTCATGGAGGTTTTAATGTTGAAATATAGAGATAATCTTTTAGATTATATCTGTGTGTGTGTGTGTGTGTGTGTGTGTGTGTGTGTGTGTGTGTGTGTGTGTGTGTGTGTCGTAGCTTTCCCAAAGGACTTGTTCTTTCCTAACCGGAGCGAACACGGTTAGTTTTGCT